AAAAGACAATTATCTGAATTCTTAGCTTAGCTGCAGTGACTGTGTCAATGCAGACATGCAGTATATTTTGCATCACGACTTTCCAGTTACAGTCCTTAGGTTAACAATGCAGATTCTAAATTAAAAGAAAAGTCAGACAAGGGGACCTAAGGTCGTGCGTAAAGGGACTTTAACTATGAGGATAACCCAGAATGCAAACACAAATCCTAAATCCGATACTCCTAAAGGGAGTACGAGATAATTTTTTTATTTTTTTTATTTAGCCAACTGTAGTAGCTAACTACAAGTGGATTAATTAGTTACTATATCGGGTGCTATGTGCACCAAAGGTATGAGAGCTTGATAGTGTGGACAAGGGAAGTAATTAACAGAGGTATTGGTGACAGCATGTGGAAAATGTTGAGTTGTGTAAACTAAATGCTGCCAATTGTGTAGCTCCAATCTAAGACATCACTTGTTAGGTTGTAACAAGATTGCTGTAATCCTACAATTTGTAGCCTAATGCTTTGCAACCTGTGCTCACTGCCAGATCAAAGCCCAGGCCATTCACCGAGCACAACACAGTCAGTCAAAAAGATGCTTACATAAAAAATGTGCAGAAAGAATGAAGGGAAGGGGATCTCAATGCTACAAGCTGAAAGTGTCTAATAATCTAAAGGAATTATAAAGTGGTGATACCCCAAGCAGTCAATCGATCTACCCATCCTTCTACTGATCCCAAAGTACTCAGTATCACCCAGGGGAGTTCTGCTTTATTTTGTTTGTTTTATCGTTCCACCATATTAGGCATTGAGTGATGGGTGTTTTGTAGATATAATTTAGGCAGGTGGTAGATTTAGGTTACCGCGGTGTAGGTCCGGAGTCCTTGCTTATAGATGTGTGATACTGAGTACTTTGCCTGCCTGTAGCTCCACATAGCACCCTGATATAGAAACTAAATCATCTTATTACAGTTAGTGTTCTCATCCAGTTGCAGTTAGTGCTCTCATCCAGTTACAGTTAGTGTAATCATCCAGTTAAATGTTAAATGCTTCACTCCATGTCAAACCAAAAGCATCGTAAAGGGACATATCCACCTAACCCACCTTGTGCTTTTAAAATTATCCTAACTTACATGTTGAGATAAACTACTAAATAAAGAATTGATACACTGGATATTTATTATTTTGATATGGACTTTTTCCTCTCGTACTTTACTTGGGAATATTGGATTTAGGGTTTATAAACCAAAATACCCGAGCTTGAAAGTATCTAGATCAGAGACTTCTAATTCAATTTATGACTTTTGATCTAAAGTTTGTCATTTTCTTGTTCGTTCTTAACAATTCCTGGTTTAGTGAATTAAATCTAAAGTGGATATTTGCACATATCAGGACATTAGTCGATTATAGGTAAAGATGCCAAATGCTAAAAAGAAATGATTATCTCAACTTTGAACATTAAAGAATATCCAATATTTAGTTTAAATAAGTCTCTCTCTAAAGGACTGCATATGGTCCCCTCTAAATGCACCCATAGTATATGTATATATGTATGGTTTGTTACGTTTAATATTTATTAATTTAAACCATTTTTCCCAACTCATCCTAAGTGACTTTGTTTGTATGAAACCACCACTTGCATCTTCCGTTTAATAATATTTACTTCACTTTACATGATTTGCAGTATTACTGTAACCTTCCCTCATTTCATTGCATCTCTATTACCTGTCATTATCTTTCAATGCCCCATTGCTTATTACTTGCCACTCGCCCACCCCCATGCTTTCACACTGCCTGTCTCCTTCCTCTCCCCTCCACCCACCACTTCTCTCTCTCTCTGTCCATATACAGCCTCCCTTGTTCCTGGGCTGGCACCTGCCCAGACTGTTAAGGGAAAGAAAACAGCCCAGGAACCTGCCAAATCTTTGAGCTGGACTCCAGAGCCTGCCTGGAAGGGGTGGGGCAGCCTCCTGAGTCAACAACAGCCATCGACAGGTGCGGAAGCAATTCCGGCTGGGGTGGGGAAAGCAAGACCTAAAGACTGGACTGAATCAAAATGCCAATACTAGACTTTCCTCCTTCCATGTGACCACCGCCTGTTCCCCTGGGACAGAGGAAAGCACTGATTTACACACATACAGCGGATACACACGCTACAGGATAAATATACAGTAACACCTGCATACAGGGTCACAGAAGAATGTAACCCCCCTCTGTGTTGGGTAGTGCTGCTGAGATTTACTCTATTAAAGCCGCAATCTGCTGCAAGGTTACGGGATCATTTTACTCTTTGAATAATATTGCTTCGTTAACCATTTTTATATTTATAGAAAGCTTTTATTTTAACAGATTTGTTTGTTACCCACAAGACATGTAGTTACGTATTCAATTAATGCATGTAATGTATTATTTAGGTGATATTAATGTTTATTTGCACACTGTGTGATTTATTAACTAAACACTGAAATATAGTAAGCTAAAAAGCAGAAAACAGAAAAAACCCTCCAAACAAGCTATTGTCAGAGTTTGACTATTTTAGCCTAAAATTTACCATTTGGTGTACAATTCACTGCACTGGTGTTTGGTGAGTGGTCATCTTTGTAGTTGAAGCAGTGTCAGATATTGGAATTGTACAGATAGGCATTTAAAGCCACGCTGTGGGCACTAAACCAGACTTAGGAAACCTTTGGCACTCCAGATGTGGACTACATCTCCCATAATACTCTTACAGCCATAATGCTGGCAAAGCATCAGGGGAAATGTAGTCCACAACATCTGGAGTCCAAAAGGTTGCCGACCCCTGCACTAAACAATTTATTCTCATTGCATTGGGTATAGTGCTGTACCTCCAATCGCCATGTTTGGGAAAATTAATGCTAAATAAAGGTCCTTTGCTCCCACAGCACGTTGTCTGCTATATCTAAAGCTGACGCAGAGATTACACGCTTCCTTCTAGCCATACCAATTCATACCAGCAATGGGTGCTGTGATAGGCTGAACTCAGTTAGTTGGCACTCTCGCCCAATCACAGCCACCGATTGCTTTTTAGGCTAATGCTTCCTAAATAGCCAAAGTGGCAAAGAAGTGATTGCCTGTGAGGAAACACTTTTCATTGTAATTAGGCAAACAAGCAACAGAAGTTAAGCTGATTTTTATTTTATTTTTTTGGATTGTAGAATATTCAATTAAAAATAAAATTAAAATTTCATGACAAAAACTCTTTAAAATGTTTTGGCTATAAATATCATTGGTGTGCTTTGGCATGTTAAATACAGAGCTTTTATTACCTATGGTCTGGCGGTCATATTGAATTATTAGACCAATTTTGCAAATTATATATTTTATAATTTATCCTGATGAAAGTCCCTGTTAGGGACTGAAACGTCGATCTCACCACTTTGGGTATTATGAACATTCAGTAAAGGAAATTATGCATTTATAAGACTGTTAGTGCAACCACATAAAAAATTTTTGTACTATTATATATATAAATATATTATTATTTTTTAAAATTAATTATTTATTTTTTAATTAAAAACAAGTATTTAAAAAAAACATTCGAATCATTGTATAAGAATGATGAACAGGAAACCCAATTCACCACTGTCCTTTATTCCCCTCTCTAAAAATAAGGAATAATTTGCCCAAAAGTGGCAGCAGTTACCCAAAACGGAACTGTAAGCAGCTGCGAAGTGGAGGATAGCCAGCTTCCTTACAAATTGTGTGCAAGGATATTTATTTTTCATGCAATTGGATAGCGAAGTGATGGACTGTATTTCAAATTCTACTAGTCTGAATTATGACCTGCAAAGTGTAACTTTTCTAAATTTAGCAAGGAATAGAAAAACAATGTAATTAAAGGGGAAAAAACACAAAAATATTGAGTTGATATATGAATAGAACTACACTGGAATTACACTGCTAGCCTTATTCTAAACTGTGCAATTAAAGGAATTGTCTGAAAATGACCATATATTTCTAATGCATAGATCATGTATTCAGAATAATGCAAACAAAATGAAAAATATAAAAAACTAAAATGATACTTTTAAAAATCCACATAATGCACTGCTTAATAGGTCTGTCTGTAGTTGCGGGTATATTCCTCCTCCACCAGGATGAGACACTTCACATTATAACTCTGTCATTCTGGTCTGTGGGAACTAATATTATCCCATAAGCTCTGCCCTGCAGAGGTTTATGAGATCAGAATTTTACCCCCAAAAAGTAGCTTCACCCACATAAGATGATTGGAAATGCACTTAAAATTCATAGAAGTTAGATTGTGTTTTATTTCCTGGTTTGCTGTTTAGCTGTCTAGCGAGGAGATAGAGAGCCTTTCCTATAGACTGTGCGACATACTAGAACATTTTAGTTTGTATTTAATGTTCACAAAGACTTTATCAATGTTAAGATACTTAGTTACAGCAGTACAAAAATGAAATAGGTGTAAATGCTAGACTCACAGATCTCAAAGCAGTTGAGGGAGAATACAATAATACATGCAAAGTTTCATATGCAGTGTTTAAAAAAAAAAAAAACAATAACAGGTTTTGGAGGCTATCAACTATTTCTGAGCACATAGGAAGAGCGTGTAAGCCCCACTGGCACCGACCACGTGCGGACCCTGTTGAACGAATAATTCACCAGTTATTGACGGTAGTTGAGTGGACCTGGGCCAGCAGGGACCCCCCAAAACACTGCGAACACCTCTGATTGGTCAGCCTTGGGAGTGTACATATTTGGGTGTCAGGAGCTAGTGCTCCAAAAGGGCGTGGTGAAGTTGTGGTGTGAGGTATAGGCTGTGGTTGGAGGTGTTATGAGTGCTTGTGCTTGTGTCCACCCTAGTTTTCTGATATCCTATGTCACTACTAAGTGGGTTTCTCAGGGTTAGTCTAATAGTTCACCTGTATCAGGTAGTGTGACCCAACCACCGGGATCACCCTATGCTGAGGTTCACAAGGCTTTATGAAGGTTAAGACACTAAACTATAACATCATAACAGTGCAGTAGGTGCAAATGTGGGACTCGCAGGTCTCAGAGCAAGTGAGCAATAATGCAATAATACAAGTGAGGTTTCATATTCAGCGTTTCAGAGAAATATGGGCAGTAGCAATACAGAAACGTTGAGGTGTCAGAGTGCTAGAACATTTTAGGCAACTTTCCTGCCTATTGATTATTATTTGCAGAACTAATAATAGGATTTAGAAAGAAAACGAAAGTATCTTATTTATACTCACTGTTTTCTAAACACATTTAATGTAATTTGAGACAAATTGTTGTGAGAATTATTCTGGCAAAGCTTTGTTACACCCTCAAACAGGCCAAAAATGTAGCATCTAGTAAAGAACATCATTAGGATAGACGAGGACTAAAGATGAGGGTTTCTCCCTGTTTAAGAGGAACATTTTGGAGGTATGGCCTTTGGCGTACATGACTACCGGTATTTATTCTTGGTTCACTTTACTTGAAGCCCTATACTTTTATTTTAAAACAGTAACACATTATTAATATATAGGTTGATATGTACCTTTTTATTTCGGTATAGGATCATTCATAATGTTGATGGGCATTTTCAACAATAATGACATTTTAATACAATTGTAATATGTTTATGTTCATTTTGAACTTTTATTCCAGCGCCTGGAGGATACGGTGTTAAATCCAGATAGCTCAGGTGAAGACAGAACATTGGGTTTTCGAGGTGTTGAAGGAGAGAGAGACACCTTGACTCCCGTGCCTGCACGTATCAGGGAGATAGTCACACAGAATCTGAGTGAGGACTTAAGGCACAGTAAGTTAACTAGAGTAAGATCGTGTGTCAACACCCTCGAGGGGTAGATGTATAAGCGTAACTTCCAACATTTACAGAGTTATTCGCTAGAGTGAAGATTGTCAGGAATCTGAAAAGGCCTAAATAGCCAAACTGGAAACCTGACATGACAAGATAACATGGAGAATATTTCCAGTACTGCTATTTTGGTCTTCAGTTCAAACTTCGCTGTGAATTCCTGACAGTTTACTTTTTAGTGAATAACCTTGTTAAAGTTGCAAAAGGATGACCCTTTTATGCTAAGATGTGTGACCAAATGTGCCAGCGACTGCTTGATTCCAGAGAATTTTAGATTAATGATATTCTTACAGCCATTTATGTGAAACAAATCATTTAGTGTATGACCAAAGGTTTTTTATTGTATTAATTGTTTTTATTTTGTTATATTGTAAATATATAACATGCTTCCACACTTTATTTCTCTGGAGCTCTGTGATAAACTTCTTCATACCTAAAATACTGAACTTTTAAAAAGTAGGACCAAATGGTAGAAAATGCCCAAAGAAAACCAGGCAGAGAGACATTTGAGTCTTTTTAACAAAAAAAAGGAGAAATTGCATCAAACTTGATAATTATATTTATATTCTAGATTAAAATAGGAAAATGATTGCAGCCAGGACAAAATGATCATGATCTAAAATGTGGGTGTGACTTACTCCTTAAAATGTATTACTTATGTGTGGCAACGGTAAAGTCTCTCCTTGTGAAAACAGCGAGGAAACATCACAGCTTATTTTATTTTTGCAAGTGATGTATAATCTACCGTAGTTTTTTTTTTTTTTTGCATACACCATAACTCCCTCCTGCAGTTCTTCTGTTCCACCTGTTTATTGGTTTCTTTATTTTCTTTAGGACCTTCTGATTCTTATCTAGACTGCACTTTCCATGAGGAGAACAGATCTCTACAGGATGAATTATTCCGTACGAAAGACCTGCTGGCACAAACACGCTCTGAGCGTGATGAACTCACACTCAAAAATCTCAACTTGACTGAGAAGGTAAAGAGATGTTAAATATGGAATTCCCACACACTCCAACACTTCAATAATGTATGCCTGGGGTTGTGATGTCCACTAATACTCCATAAATGTCTGCGTTCTTTGCACTATACTATGATTATTATATTAGGTAGCATTATCCCTGTTGATTCTACACTTAAATGAAGCCAGCACTTACATACCATACACTACCACAATTCTGGGAAGTTAACATTAGTTCATACACACCTGCATTCAATGAGGTCCACACACCACTATACTTCAATGAACTTCAGTCCATAACCGCCCACACTTCAATGAAGCCTTCATTAATCCTTATGCTCCTCACTCCAGTGAATGCAGCTGTTATCCACACTCTTCTGACAATTAAACCAGCAGTACTCCATGCACTCCCAACACCTCAGTGAAGCCAATGCGCGTCCATATACTCCTAGATTTCAATGAAGCCACATACACACACTTTTCATAAATCTATTCCTTTATAGAGCCAGCACTGTTCCTTACACTTCTTGTTCTCCAGCACTAGTCCACCAATGCATATTCTTCACTGAAGCTAGCTCTATCCCACACACTCCTGGTCCACAGTTAATCCACCACTAATCCACACATTACCAGTCCACAGTGAAGCCAGCTCTATCCGACACACAAATGGTCAGAGATGTGGCAACTGACATTTAATGTGGATAAGTGCAAGATAATGCATCTCGGACGTAAAAACCCAAGGGCAGAGTATATAATATTCAACATCTGAGGAAAGGGATTTAGGACTAATTCTTTCAGATGACTTAAAGGAGCACTATAGGGTCAGGAACACAAGCATGTATTCCTGACCCTAAAGGGTTAAAATCACCACCTAGTCCCCCTGGGCCCCTCATGCCTCCATTAATATAGCAAAATCTTAATTGTATTCAAGCCTGAAGCTGCTGGCTCTGCCCTGTCCGTCTCAGACCAGCAAGCAGTCTGCTGACATCATCAGAAGTGGTAGCCTGATCCAATCACAGTGCTCCCCATAGGATTGGCTGAGACTGACAAAGAGGCAGGTCAGGGGCAGAGCCAGCACAATTCAAACACAGCCCTGGCCAATCAGCATCTCCTCCTATGAGGAAAGTTCACTGTCTGCCTGCAGAGTGGAAACACTGAATGTTTGGATGCATTTTAGGCAGCCATAACCCAGGAAGCATCTCTAACAGCCATCTGAGGAGTGGCCAGCAAAGTTATCACTAGGCTGTAATGTAAACACTGCATTTTCTCTGAAAAGACAGTGTTTACAGCAAAAAACCTGAAGGTAATGATTCTACTCACCAGAACAAATTCAATAAGCTGTAAATATTCTGGTGACTATAGTGTCCCTTTAAAGGTAGGCAGACAATGTAATAGAGCAGCAGGAAATCCTAGCTGAATGCTTGGTTGTATAGGGAGAGGTATTAGCAGTAGAAAGAGAGAAGTGCTCATGCCATTGTACAGAACACTGGTGAGACCTCACTTGGAGTATTGTATGCAGTACTGGAGACCGTATCTTCAGAAGGATATTTATTATTTGGAAAGAGTGTATCCCACACACTAATAGCCCACAGTGAAGCCAGCTCTATCCCACACACTAACAGCCCACAGCAAAGCCAGCTCTATCCCACACACTCCAACACTTCAATAAATACAATTATTCAACACATTTGAAACTTCTGCATCTCAGTGAACCGAGAAGTACCCCTTTAACTTCTAATATGTAACTTTATCAACAGCCATACTAGCCATACTGTATCAACATCTCATATATAGGTGGGTCATTTGTTCAGCCTGTCTCGTGCATTAGAGAATTTAGCATTACTTCCTGCATTTGTCACATATTAATGGGGTTTCCAATACTCACTGCATCTCTCATTCATTAGAGGATGCTACCTCCGATTGCTCATACATTATTGATCTAAGCTGTACTGTCACCATTTATCTACATTATATTGCCTCTTAGTACAGCCAGCATTACTTAGCATCACTTTTGACATCTCCTTGCATTAGTGAGCATATTCATACTATTGAGCATAGTGAGCAAATTAGTGAGCTTATTTATACTCACATATATTGTACATTAGTGAGCGTGTCCATACTCACATATATTGTACATTAGTGAGCTTATTTATACTCACATCTATTGTACATTAGTGAGCTTATTTATACTAACATATATTGTACATTAGTGAGCTTATTTATACTCACATCTATTGTACATTAGTGAGCTTATTTATACTAACATATATTGTACATTAGTGAGCTTATTTATACTCACATATATTGTACATTAGTGAGCTTATTCATACTCACATATATTGTACATTAGTGAGCGTGTTCATGCTCACATCTATTGTACATTAGTGAGTGTGTCCATACTCACATATATTGTACATTAGTGAGCTTATTTATACTCACATCTATTGTACATTAGTGAGCTTATTTATACTAACATATATTGTACATTAGTGAGCTTATTTATACTCACATCTATTGTACATTAGTGAGCTTATTTATACTAACATATATTGTACATTAGTGAGCTTATTTATACTCACATATATTGTACATTAGTGAGCTTATTCATACTCACATCCATTGTACATTAGTGAACTTATTTATACTCACATCTATTGTACATTAGTGATCTTATTCATACTCACATATATTGTACATTAGTGAGCTTATTCATACTCACATATATTGTACATTAGTGAGCGTGTTCATGCTCACATCTATTGTACATTAGTGAGTGTGTCCATACTCACATATATTGTACATTAGTGGGCTCTTTAATACTCACATATATTGTACATTAGTGAGCTTGTTCATACTCAAATCTATTGTACATTTGTGAGCTTATCAGCACTGACAGCTTCCCCTATACACAAGTGAGTGTGTCATTACTCAGAACAACTCCTTTATTTGGCAAGCTGATATACATGTTTATCATTACTGGAAGCATCTCTTATTCATCAATGACCTTATCAGTACTCATAGTATATATCCTATACTTATGTTATCTTCGCTCTCTTGTACATTATGCAGCTTATCCGCAATCCCAAAGTAATAATACGTTTCTGCTGTTTAGTATTTCGTAGCAGCTATCATTGCAATCTCTATTTTGCTAACAACAAATGTCATTTCATAAAAATTGGTCTGTCAAATATGCTACGTTTAATCAAAATATGTGACGATTGAAATAATAATTATTGGATAATATGTTCTGGCCTTGTTCTAGGTTGGTTTAGCTTGTTTTCATACCATCCTTTATACTGATAGAAGTTTATTAAATATAACTAGTGTTTCTGCATATTTAGTAGGTATATAAGTCTTTCTTCAATGCTCAGAGCTCACTCTCCATAGTGTTTTCTGGTTTTACTAATATCAGCCCATAAAGAGTTAACCTTTGTTTGCAATACTTAGTCTGGCTTAATTTACTCTCCACCTGGAATTAACTTATCTTGATGGATTCAACATCATCTTGGTTCTTTTTTCTGTTAGAGAGCATTCATGAAAAGTAAGGCTTGTCCATATCAGTTACTCTCTGAAAGTCAAATGTCTGAGTCAGTATCAGTCTCATTTTGGGGGGCCAAGCGGTACTTTTCCTTGTGTTTTTATTTGAGATCCATACTATTTCTCTATATGAATTACTGAAGTTTGTCTCACACTGGAGTTTGTCATACACATCTCGTATTCAGTAGGTTCGGCAGCCATTGCTTGTTAGCTGTGTCAACCTTTAGCAGGCAATCCTAAACCTAGTATATAGACAACAAGGCCTGTGACTGCTTTGTGACCTTGTCTGCTCAAATCACTCCTTCCAGCTGCACCTCTGTGCTCCCCCTGCTGTGCCAGATTCCCACCTTCCCAAGCAGAATTAACGCTCTCTCATAACAACTCTAAATAAACTGTCTGGCTGTTAACAACCCAGAGGGAGTGGTGCCCTCCCCACAAACACTTTCTCAGGGACGTGTGATCTCTGACTCCAGTCCCTTAGTCCCTTCCCCCCTTTACTATACTCTCATAGCAAGAGTAACGTCAAGGCTTCACACCTTCAAACAGAAATGCTTATACAGTGACACATTTTATTGGGCAACATAAATGTTTCTCCATGGAATGGCTTGAGCGGGAATGTTTTATCTCATATTGGGAGCTGTCAAGCTAACAATCATTTCCAAATAAATTTACGGCCATTGACATAGGTCTGTTTTTGTGGACCCTGTAATACCATAGGGAATATAAGATGTGATATACAAAATGTTTATGTGTATATTAGGGTTGATTTTTTGTGTGTTTTATTCTCTTGTAGATGAGACTAAAAATATAATTATGCCCCAAAATATTTGTAAACTCTATTCATCAACGGTATTATTATATTATTATTATTATTATTATTATTATTAAATTGTAAATAATATATTCTTGAAATATGTAGTCAAATACATCTTTAGAGGTGTCACAGGGCACTGTAGCTGTAGGAGAATAGCAAATGAGTGAGCATGTCATACATGCAGTCTTCAAAGAAAATATATCTCTTAAACTAGAAAGTTGTGGTGAGAGCAAAATACTCCTCACTGATTGATGAAAATGTAACGTGCTGTTGTGCATCACCCACATATCATGGTTTCATTATGTTTGTTGGTCCTGCAGAATCACAAAAAATGCTTTGGTTTATAAAGTTGTGTTTAAAACAGCGCTCAATTAGTTAGGGTGGATGAAGAAATGAAGAATTAAGTTGGAACCATGATGCCTGTCTGTGCTCATTTACATATCCAGCAGGGCATTTTGGGAGAATCGGGAAAACATGATTTCTCTGAATTACTGTAATTCCCCTTTTTATTGTGTTACTAGGAGGGATAGCACACACAGACACACTCCTGCATTGTTAAATAAGGAAAAGCCTTAAGTGTGTGTGTGTGTGTGTGTGTGTGTGTGTGTGTGCATATATATATATATATATATATATATACATATAATTTTTATTTATTTACTTACTTTTTCTTTGCAGTTGGAACAGTCTCATAACCTGCGATTGGGTGAAAGTGAAGTGGTCTTGGATATGAGACGCCTATTCCGTGAAGAGGAAATGGCGTACAAACGCAAATTATCAGCCTATCAGGATGGTCAGCAGAAGCAGGCTCAACTAGTACAGAGACTGCAGAACAAGGTATACATTGATTTCTGATGACTATATACATTTAGTAATTTTACTTGGAATTGATCAAGATTCTGCAGTTGGGTGAATTATCTGTAGCTAAGTGCAAGATCTTCCCTCTTAGATACATTGTGTATGTGAAAAGGTCCTGTTGTAGGGGGAACATGCTTAACTGTAGGTTGTGAAGGAGGGAAAAGATGGGTGGGATAATCGACAATTGTTTTTAGGGACATGGTATGGAGATTGGTAAGATGATCTGAGAATATTTAAAATGTTGAATTTGAGGTAATAGCATAAAGAAATCAGAAGTAATTAGTGGATCAGGCTGAAGTGATGGCTTGTGGGTCTTTGCAGTGTGTTTAGATGGTGTTAGAGAAGAAATTATCTCCTAATTATGTTCCAATATTTTTGTTTTACAGGTTTTACAGTATAAGAAAAGGTGTGGAGAGCTTGAACACCAACTTTTGGAAAAAACGTCGGAAAAGGAGCAGCAAAAATCAACTGTAAGTATTATGAAATTGGCCATGATATTCATTAATTGTATGGTTGTAATAAAATAAATTAATTCCTAATTCAATTGAATTGTTTAAACATATAGACATCTTATAAAATTACTCATACCAATCCATTAAAGATTGATCTTGTCAGGAATACTAATTACCCTGACATGCAAACCTTGGTCACACGTCTTAATAGAGGGAAAATGCAGGACAATAGGGTATTGCCAGTCTTTAGAGGGACTGGACTTAACACAGTGCCTATAATAGTGAAACAGCCTACTGATGAGAGTAAACAGAGACTGGCTGTGGCCAAATCATTTCAGAAAGTCAACATATAGAGTATAACAGACTGAGGTTAAGACTAACTGAGAACAACAAAGAGCCCTTGCTTGGCCTTATATATCCAATGGATTGTTGTCATCTTTCAATTTAGGTCAGATCCTCGGTCATCAAAAAGGGTTCACCTAGAGAGGCAACATTTGTTGTTTGCTTGGTTTTCAGGAATTTGAAGCAGAACCCTAACTTGAGCTCAAATGTATTTGTCTGCTGAGCATACAATACAATCTAAATCATACTCTTTAATAACTATTGTGAAAGACAGGAAGAAAAAGACTGGCTGATGGGAAGGTTGAATCTATTTATACCCATTTCTCTGTCCAGTCCTTTCTTCTGTGAAGGGGGGAACTATACCATAGGTTAATTTTACAAGGATCTGCTTAGGAAAGTGAATATAACTGGCCTTAAATAATACTGTTTAATCTCTAAGTGTATAGGAGCAGTGCTTACATGGTGTGATGGTGAGCAGTTAGCATATGGAATATGCCTATAACTTATGCTAACCATTTTTCCATGAGATGCTCCATGTGCTTTAAATGACCATTAAAGTTATCAGTGTTCCTGTATGTTTAACCAATCAGGGTAAAACATTTTGCAGAAAGGACAATATATACATTGCAGGGATAAATGCGCCTCTAGTGGCTGTCGTACTGGCAAGTGATGTAAAAGGCAAGAGGAAGCCGTTTCTAAAATAAGACATGATGTTTGATTCTGACAGCCACTAGAGGTGCTACCGCTGCACTGGCCGAGTATCCTCAATCACGTGATGCAGCAGCGGGAGGCGGAAAGGTGAGGTTTGTATTCCTAACTAAACTAAACTCCTAATTTTGTATACTAAACTCCTAAATTTTGTCTTTTATAATTTATATTAAAGATTTAGCAAATTACATCATAATCCAGTTCAGAAATCAGGCAAAATCAGGACAAACATTGCAAAATGAAGAGTTTGCATTTGGAACAAATTTTCTTCAATTCCCGTTGAATTTGAGCAATTTGCTTAAATCAATGCAAGAGAATCAGTACACTGAGTACCAGTAACAAAAATAACTATTTTATTAGATATAATATGTAATTGGCACCTCTCTTCCTATCTTAACATTTGCTGTACTTGTGTTCAAAGTGTGGTGAATGAAAATCAAAATGTTTTCTTACTCGTTAAATTATTATTAATTTCATAGTTTGTTCCATTACCAAGCCAGTTCTATAAATATATGTATTCACTGCCTGCTGTTTGACCTTGGAATTTTCCATTTATTGCTAAGAGGTGATATTAATATTTCTGGAAAATCAGTTGAGGAGCTGTGACGTCAGAAAGCCATTGAAATACACTATTGACAAGTTTTGCAGAACATGTTGAGCCCATGTTTATAAAATGCTAGGAATGTGCGAAATATTTTGGACTATAATACCTAACAAGTCTGAATAAGTCTCAGAGTGTGTAAATTACTAGGTTAAAACCAATGTTTATTATTACCATGAGACTCTGGCACCATGTGCATATTCTGCTAGCACAGAAACATCCCACTGTATATAACTGTGGTACCAGCTAAATCTATAGTAAGAATGTAACCCTTTGGATGCCAATAAAGTACTATCATTCTCTGAAGTTAAAATACAACTGGACAGGTGGCATGTTTCCTACACATTAACCAGCCTGATATTGCATAGAGCCCTGGCGACAAACAAGTAACCCTCCAGAATTAAGTTGTTGAGCTGAACATGAGCCAAATGGATATTAGTGAATGCTTGCAGTGATATTTCTCAGGTGTATACATGAGAATTCCACGTCCCGGGCCAACTCACGGTCTACTGAATAAGCCCTCTTTTGTCTCTCAAATGGGGAATCGTTGAGTCATGTACACACACCACCTGCTCTGGATCCTGTTCGTACTGCAGCAATGCAGGTGTTGTAAAGTATCAATTTTGCAATGTCTATCAGAAATCAAAAATGTTTAAACTGTGTCCTAATTGTTTGTTAGCTTTCCCTTAAGGTATGTGGAGCTTTGTTAAAAATGTGGCTTGTTAATGGAAAGAATTTTGTTTAAAATATGTATAATTCATTTTAAAATGCATACCATTTGCATGATAACACTAGTCCAGAAAAAATGTCTTACTGGGAGAGTTTTCATTGATTGAGTCTGAAATGTATCCCTGCATCTATATTTTTTTATATGGACCCTATGTTTGAATTTGTGAGAATGATTTGCCTGTTTAATTAAGGTATAACTTAATGAACTGTCTCATTCTTTGCTATTACACTATTTTTTTTATATACATGTTTGTTTATTTATAGCTTTACATCTAGATTTCCTTTACAGCCTCTTGAATTCCTACTGAAGCCTTACCAGACCCATTTTTCTCCCTTTAGCTTTTTTTACTTATCTCTCCCCACCAGCATTGTCAAATGTCTTTACTTGCTCCGCTGACATTTTATTAATATCTCTCTCCATTAGCCTCTACCTTGACCCTTTTTGAATCTTTCTCTCTGTCTAAATTTCCCCCCTCATCTTCCATTCTCGTCTGCCAATCATTTCCCCATTTTCCTCCACCTTCTTACTCTCTATTTTTGCCATCTCTAACATTTTCCCTTATTTTACAGATCAAATAGCACTAGCAATCTTGTCTCATTAGAAATCATTATTGTACCATTTCACTTGCCAGCCTTCGCTGGAACTGTAGGGAAAGTATGTTATGTGGGCAAGTGGAAGGGACAAAAGACCAATGTAGGATTCTGACCTCTAAGTCACTGCATTTTCAAGTTACTGTGTGAAGCCTAATATTAGAGTCTAAAGTGCAAGATAATGCTATCCAGCTAGTCTGCAAGGTTTACTGTGGTAGGGAGATTTGCTGGTGCGTATCCCAACCAGTACAGGATCCCAAGGCCGGCCAAACCATGCTGCCTTAGTTGATAAATGGTCCATGTGCTGGTAACAGAAACAAAAAAAATAACTAATTTGGACTTCTGCCTTATTTGAAACCTTTTTATTTATTTACCATCTTTGTTCTTCTAAGCTTACCTTTACCCACATCCACAGTATTATTGGATTCCTTTACCATGCTAGCATTCCATCTGTATTGTACTGTACATTATAACCTTCAAATCTCTTGCCCTAGTCCTCATGCTCTTATTTGAAAATATCAAATTAGTTTTATTTAATCCTGTATTACATATTTTCCATAGAAGAATAGAACATGGTGATGAAGGCTATGCAACTGAAAACACTTTGGGAAATTGACCTCACATGTCTTGTAATATTGTGTAAAGTCTCCTATTGTATATAGGATATGAAGAGAAATACAGTCATTGCTCTATTTGTTGTATCGGAAATTCAGTTGGTTTCCACATTTAGAACTTTTCACTACTTTTGCTATTTCTAAAGAATGTATACTAAACGCCTAATGAATGAACATATGTGCTTCTACGTCTCCCCAATAGTTACAGGCACGTTTGGATTTGGCAGAATCAGTCCTACAAAGGTCCGACCAAGATCACAGCACAGACCTGAAGAAAACACTTGCTCGACTAGAGGATGAACAGAAAAGGTACATCTTGTAGATTCAAGTTTTCCTTTTTTAGATTTTTTTCTAGATTATTGGAAACCCTTTTCATACAAAAGAAAAATCCATACATTTTACCTGTATTTCAGCAACCACCCGGCCACTGTGCTAAAATCGCTTCTCATCTGAGAACTTTTCAGTTCTGATAAATTTTGTCCATTTCACTAAATCCAGTTCTTCTCTGTGAGAAGCATTAGCAGTATTCAGCTCTATCATGCACTGAATACTGAAAATGGACCAGCTCAAGTTATTACCCAAATATCTTCCAGTTTTCTCCCAGGTTGGGGCGTCCCACAGCCCATCTACACACTCACCCTTTATATACCTCATCATAAGATTTAAACCATGTCCTATATTCCCATTGAGCCCTGCCTACATTTCCTTCCTCCTTTGCACTGCAAGAACCAGTTGCATAAAAAAACACTTTTTAAAATTTGAATAATTCTCTTCTTGTTTGGTGGCTTGCTGTGATGCTGATATACATATATTATAATTCTTTAGTGTGTCAGAAATATCCCCAAGCCTCAGGCCCAAGTTTTCTATAGATGTATTTTGCTACTATATAATAAAATAGCAAACGATGTTACAGGATGATGGATATTCAACAGCAGATGTTGCTTGCTGGACTTTGAGAGAGTCTTTGTCCAGAAAATCAAAGATCTGAGAACAGAAAGCGCGCATCCTTTGTCCACCATTCTATAGCTGTGACTATAATGACTTTAGAAGCTAAAACTCTGACCATATAAAAACAAATAGGACCACCATCTTTTCTCTTGCTATACACCCGCATTTTAAATTTCTCATGTTACAGAATAGGAAATTGCCACCAATTAGACATACATACCTGATACCTAATATGAATAGGAATATAGAAGATGTAATATCCTACACCAATGTATTTACAAACTGTTTGTGTAAATTGTATGCCCCTATGAATGATCATTTCAGAGTTAGTAAATGTGAGTGTTAAACTGCAAACACGGGACATGAATTATTTTACAAAACGTTTTTGTCTCACTAGCTTTAGTGAATACATCTTAATACCTGACGTCTCATTTCCCTACAGGAGTAGTACTTTGTCCCAAATGAACCTAACTCTGCGAGATGAAATGGACCAGCTAAAATTATCCAATGAGAAACTTGCAGAGGAGCTGAGGACCCTGACTGCTGATCTCCACAAGGCACACGATGAGGCAGAAAAACAAGAGATTGAGTGGAGGATGGAAAGAGAGGTAATTATTACTGTTCCCAGTATTCCCATCACTTAAAGGCTTTATCATCACAAATGAATCTGTCTTACTGACAATCTATCTATTAGTGTTTGCAGAATTAATATTGTTAAAATTTAAGGTAACTTTAATATTTAAGAATGGTTCATAGAACTGTTACCCATTGGCAGGTTAGTTTGCATGGTATGCAAAATGCCACACTACGTCAATCAAATGCTGCTCCATGACTCAAACTGGGTTTTACTTGGTTAGAGCAGACAAAGCCCTCTAGTGGCTGTCAGAAAGTCGTGTTAAACCTGCAACGGCAATGTTTACAAACAGGGTCACTGTACCCAGACCACTTCGATATGATAACAAGACATACTGCATCCAGTGATATATTGGATAAATAAAGTAAAAAAACTCAATAATGTCTAAGCCAAATTACCAGTACATTTATATCATACTGCACATACATTACATACCGATCCACTCTTGAAAATTTGATTGCCTTTTACTGTTTCTTTTCACTCCTCACAGAGTTATTCCAAATACATGACCAATGAGCACGGCAACATTATGACTTTATGGCATCAGGCAACAACTCTACGCAATCAATTCAATGAACTGCGGTCTACGGCTGAGAGGTAAGGAATACTGGATTCTCACAGGGCAATGTATGGAACAGGTCACAGTAAGAAAAAGATGCTAAGGGGATATTATGTTATTTACGGCTGAGAGGTAAAGAATACTGGACTCTCACAGGGCAATGTATGGAACAGGTCACAGTAAGAAAAAGATGCTAAGGGGATATTATGTTATTTACGGCTGAGAGGTAAAGAATACTGGACTTTCACAGGGCAATGTATGGAACAGGTCACAGTAAGAAAAGGATGCTCAGGGGATATTATGTTATTTACGGCTGAGAGGTAAAGAATACAGGTCACAGTAAGAAAAGGATGCTAAACAGATATTATGTTGTGAAATAGAAATTGATGAGTACGCCATATTGTCACAAGGTGTGGATGTAGGGAAACGGCTATTAAAAAGTCTGTTTTGAATGGAATCACACGTGACAACACATATAATTTAACCACAGCAATTTAAGGCAACACCAGCTGTGAAGACACTTAGGTTTCAATTTAATAAGCTTTCCAAATGATTCAATACGGTTAGAAAAACTTTCCAAATGATTTATCTACAAAGCTCCCCATAGACTTTAATGGTGACTTGGTCAGATACATTATTAGCAATGTTTTTCTAACAGTATTGAATCTTGTTAAATTGAGACCTTAGTTTGGATCACACTGTGAATAGACTCAAATTGGGTCATGCTGTGAATAGACTCTGAATGGGTCACAGTGTGCGTTGACTCCGATTGGTCAGACTGTAAATAGAGTGAGTTTGGATCATGAGGCTGGGAAGTGAATACTGCAATGGGGCATTGGCTGATCGATGAGAAAACACTGCTGTGGAATGATCACATTGTAAAACAGGTCGATGGTACTGGTGATTGCATGGTGATAACATATTTCCAGTGAAGGAGATACTTGTTTCAGTCTTATATTTAGTCTTTTTCTCCTTTTATTACTCAGGAGCATCACTGAGATCAAGTCAGACATTTCTCGCAGTTCCCGTCGCATGCACACAGCATGTCTGAATCTGGATTCCAACTTGCGTCTCTCCCAGAATGCAGCAGGAGCTTCTCTTCAGACTGCACGCCTTGAGCAGCAGCTCCGAGACAAAGTTCGTCAAATGATCCAAATGCAGAGCCAATTTGATGCAGAGAAAGTGGAATTAAACTCCAGGTACCAAAATCATGATAAGTTTGGGCTTTCATACATTTTTTGTTTTGAATTGCATTGGGCACATATACTATATGGACAAAACTACTGTTTTTTAAAATTTAATAATTAATTGTTTAATTATTGAAGTCAAAACCATTTTGGGGGTTTCGGAATACCAGCAAGTCAGCCACGAGGAGGACGACCACATAAAGTCACAGAGCGGGGTCACTGGGTGCTTCATGGAATGGGTTTCCATGGCAGAGCAGTTGCATGCAAGCCTTACATCACCAAGTACAATGCCAAGAGACTGATCAAGTCGAGTAAAGCATGCCACCACTGGACTCTGGAGCAGTGGAAACATGTTCTGTGGAGTGATGAATCAGGCTTCTCTATAAGGCAGTCTAAATGGCGAGTTTGGTTTTGGCAGATGCCTGGAGAACGTTATCAGCCTGACTACATTGTGCCAGCTGTAAAGTGTGGTGAAGGAGGGATAATGATATAGGGCTATTTTTCAGAGGTTGGGCTAGGCCCCTTACTTCCAGTGAAGGAAATGTTCTTAATTCTTTAGCATACCAAGACATTTTGGACAATGCTATGCTTTCAACTTTGTGGGAACAGTTTGGGAAAGGACCTTGTCTGTTCCAACATGAATGTGCCCAGTTTTCTGTCCATAATGCAAGGTCTATAAAGGATGTGTTTGGTGTGGTCTCAATTCCATTGAACACATTTGGGATGAACTGGAACAGAGATTACAAGCCAGGCCTTCAATACTTTATCCATATAGTGCATCAGGCACGTAAAGCATGTCATATTAAAAAATCTATAACTTTGAGCAAGAATGGGTCCAATCAAAACTGCCATGTTTCTTCCAATGCACTGTATGATTAGTACACATTTATACTCACCATAGTCAACCTTTTATATGATTTATAACTACCCTTAACTGGGTAGTTATTAATTGTATGTATGTATGTATATATACATGGTTGGCAATAGTCCCTATTAAATTAAAGAGTCCACATAATAAAACCAGACACAAATTGTTAGCGTTTAAATGAGCTAGACCATGGGGTTTATTTAAAGCTTAAGGGGCATAAATCCATATATCTCAAACATTAAACATATAACATAACACTTTAAAACCTTTATATAACTTTACTTTATATAACTGCACTCAGTCGCAGGCCAGCTTTTATCCCCCACTTCTGTACAGCTACCTGGCTAATTCTGCCTTGCAACTAAACTTTACTAAACTTTCCGCACATCCCTATAGCTAACCTAAACAACAGTTAACCTTATCATTGCCACCATACATACAGTTGCAAGAAAAATTATGTGAACCCTTTGGAATGATATGGATTTCTGCACAAATTGGTCATAAAATGTGATCTGATCATCATCTTAGTCACAACAATAGACAATCACAATCTGCTTAAACTAATAACACACAAATAATGAAATTTTGCCATGTTTTTATTGAACACACCATGTAAACATTCACAGTGCAGGTGGAAAAGGTATGTGAACCCCTAGACTAATGACATCTCCAAGAGCTAATTGGAGTGAGATGTCAGCCAACTGGAGTCCAATCAATGATATGAGATTGGAGGTGTTGGTTACAGCTGCCCTGCCCTATAAAAAACACACACAAGTTCTGGGTTTGCTTTTCACAAGAAGCATTGCCTGATGTGAATGATGCCTCACACAAAGGAGTTCTCAGAAGACCTACGATTAAGAATTGTTGACTTGCATAAAGCTGGAAAGGGTTATAAAAGTATCTCCAAAAGCCTTGCTATTCATCAGTCCGCGGTAAGACAAATTGTCTATAAATGGAGAAAGTTCAGCACTGCTGCTACTCTCCCTAGGAGTAGCCGTCCTGTAAAGATGACTGCAAGAGCACAGCGCAGACTGCTCAATGAGGTGAAGAAGAATCCTATAGTGTCAGTTAAAGACTTACAAAAGTTACTGGCAAATGCTAACATCCCTGTTAGCGAATCTACAATACGTAAAACACTAAACAAGAATGGATTTCATGGGAGGATACCACAGAGGAAGCCACTGCTGTCCAAACAAAACATTGCTGCATGTTTATAGTTTGCACAAGAGCACCAGGATGTTCCACAGCATTACTGGCAAAATATTCTGTGGACAGATGAAACCAAAGTTAAGTTGTTTAGAAGAAACACACAACACTATGTGTGGCGAAAAAAAGGCACAGCACACCAACATTAAAACCTCATCCCAACTGTGAAGTATGGTGGTGGGTGCATCATGGTTTGGGGCTGCTTTGCTGCTTCAGGGCCTGGATGGATTGCTATCATCGAAGGAAAAATGAATTCCCAAGTTTATCAAGACATTTTGCAGGAGAACTTAAGGCCATCTGTCTACCAGCTGAAGCTCAACAGAAGATGGGTGTTGCAACAGGACAATGACCCAAAGCATAGAAGTAAATCAACAACAGAATGGCTTAAACAGAAGAAAATATGCCTTCTGAAGTGGCCCAGTCAGAGTCCTGACCTCAACCCGATTGAGATGCTGTGGCATGACCTCAAGAAAGCGATTCACACCAGACATCCCAAGAATATTGCTGAACTGAAACAGTTCTGTAAAGAGGAATGGTCAAGAATTACTCCTGACTGTTGTGCACGTCTGATCTGCAACTACAGGAAACGTTTGGTTGAAGTTATTGCTGCCAAAGGAGGTTCAACCAGTTATTAAATCCAAGGGTTCACATACTTTTTCCACCTGCACTGTGAATGTTTACATGGTGTGTTCAATAAAAACATGGCAACATTTCATTCTTTGTGTGTTATTAGTTTAAGCAGACTGTGATTGTCTATTGTTGTGACTTAGATGATGATCAGATCACATTTTATGACCAATTTGTGCAGAAATCCATATCATTCCAAAGGGTTCACATACTTTTTCTTGCAACTGTATATGCCTCAGAGCTTAGTGCCTATGGCATTTATATATATAATAATTCTGCCCCAGAATTTATCTTAGCTGTCATTGGTGTTGCCAGAAGCACTTTGATCATTAATAAAAACATATCCTTAACTCTATAATCAGAAAACATCTTGTGGAGTAGGAGTTGGTAATCCTGTCTAAGTAAATGCGGAATGCATTGGCACACTTCTCAGGATCAATGGATCTCTTTGTCTCACAGTCTGTTTGCTTTAGAAAACTCTAAATGAAAGAGGCTAATTAGCATTGTGTGCTGTATGAGAGTGATTAATTTTCAAAAAAGGACTTTATACATCACATATATTTATTTTGTGTGTAAGCCCAAGCACCTTAGTCAGAGTAGGGTAATACCGTCTTAGAAAAGCTTGTATTGTTCTGTCAAATGCACAAAATATTTGCAAGCATTATAAACTGGTCCATGTGCAATTCAATAGTTCAGATTCTAACTTAGCCCCAGAATACACTGTTTGGTGGGGGCCCAGATCTCTCTTTCCTACTTGGTGGAGTTTATTATGTATTAGTTTATTACAGATCTCCACAGCAAAAAACACTACTGTAATGTACAGGTGCATATACAAATTTAGGATTCACAATAAATTGTATGAGTTTATCAATGAGCTTCTCTGAAATAAACCTTACAATAATGTGCTGAGCACATGACTTTGTCATAGAGCTTAACATCGTTAATCCTCGCAGTAATGTATAAATGTGTCACAGAATAGTATATCAGTTAAACTTAAAGTTTCATGCGTTTAAGTGTACTTCAGGGTATGTCATATAAATGAAACTCACAGTAATTTGTATAAGTGTAGTCGCAGAACTCAAAAGTAATAACCAATGTACAAATAAATTTATTTTTTTTAATTTTTTTAATGTTTATATGTATGCAATGTCTTTTATATTACGGATGCATTGACAAACTATGGATATTAAATGAAATTTTACTTATGTGATTTATGTTAGTATTGAAAATTAAAATAAAAGATATATAGAAAAAAAGAAAAGTAATAACCAATGTTTGGTGTATGTCAGGGCCAGTCCTATGCTACTTGACCTGCCTAAAATGTACTCACCACAAGGGTCCATGGCACATGCATCTGGGTGAATTTCTACTTGCCATACCTGATTTTTTACTCCCCACCTAAAATGTTCAATCATTTTGTAAATTTTGTTTTTAAATTCATCTTTCTTTCTTCCCTATGTTTCCGTATGCTTTTATTTTATTTTATTTATTTATTTTTTATTCACCTTAGTTTTGTTTAGTTATATATATAAAAAAGTGAATTATGTCAAAACAAACCGATTATGATGTAAATACCATGAACACATTTTTTTCCTTTTATTATTAGTATTTATTGTACAATCTGAAGGTCGGGCCTAGTAATTACTAACCTTAAAGGACCACTATAGTGCCAGGAAAACATACTCGTTTTCCTGGCACTATAGTTCCCTGAGGGTGCCCCCACCCTCAGGGCCCCCTCCCATGGTGCTGAAGGGGTTTAACTTACCTCTCCTGCGCTGGGCGGGGAGCTATCCTCCCTCTTCTCCTCCTCTTCGGCTGAATGCGCATTGAGAAGCAGTGAGAAGCACGCAAGCGCCTCTAGCGGCTGTCAAGAGACAGCCACTAGAGACTGGATTAACCCTAATATAAACATAGCAGTTTCTCTGAAACTGCTATGTTTATAGAAAAAAGGGTTAAACCTAGCTGGACCTGGCACCCAGACCACTTCATTAAGCTGAAGTGGTCTGGGTGCCTATAGTGGTCCTTTAATATCTCATATGTTTATGATACAAATTAATAGTGAGTGTGTATGCCTCTTACTGTAAGTACAACCTGTGTTTATGCTAGCCTAGGTTTGGTAGCTGGAATGGAAGCACATGAAAGACAGAACAATACTTGCATTTTAACATATCTTCTGCACAGTTGACCCCTAAAAAATATTTTAGTAGTAACTGTAGTAGAAGTAACTGATAAATCTAGGCTCTTTGTATTATTAAACTACCACTTACAATGCAGCTTTTCCAAATCACTACTAAAGATATGGAGGGTCCTTTCTTTAGAAAATACAGATTCAGGAACAGCGCACACACACACACACACACACACAACAATTAAAACACAGTTTTAAATTTTACAAGACTACTTAAAACCACTTATATTAGCAACCAAATATTGGGATTCATTTACACCCTATAGCTATATTGTGTTAAGCTCACCACTACGCCACAGTACCCCTATTTCAGTGTGTCCTACACTCATTTTAACATGGGAGATTAACATGCTAACTGCAATAGTTACTGATTTAACTGCTTCCAGAGACTCCTTAATTTATGCAGCTGGGTAGCATTGATTTCTTATGGTGGCATCACGAAAAGGGGCAGGTGTTTTCATTCTCAATTGTATAACATCTTTCCAATTCTAATTATTATGTTACTTGTAGTTAAAGATAATATTTTAAAATAATACTTTACAGTGAGGGCAATGTTTGAATAGCATAGCCTCTCAGCCATGTGATATGAACCAGTAGGAAAAACAAAAAATACATTTGGTATCGGAAAAAGACAATGATTCTCAAAAGAAACATTTATTTATATATATAATTTTGAAAATATTTTTTTGTGAAAGCTGCGAATTCCAAATAACATTTATGTATGGTATGTACATATAATGAAGTAACTGTGTAACTTTAAAAAAAATATACTTTGTCACATAGCACTTCTCAAAGAACGCCAGTGTGAAGTTGGCAGGCAATTTTGACCATGTTTCAAAAATATCTTTGGCGCCCGTTTACCAATTAAATCAATACATACTTGCCACAATACTGCATGTCTCCTTGCCAAGCAAACCTATTTGTCTGTCACATTTAATCCTAAATACTTACTACTTTCAGGCCCAAACCACCAGAGTTCCCTTTCACATATTCTCTACCCAGGATTAAGACATTTAATTGAGGTATAAAACAATATCAAATTTGACCCTTAATTATATTAACTCTTAATGACAGGTTGCTTTGTATATACAGGACCAGAGTCCCATGTATTTGCCAAGCATTTGCTTAAGCTCAGATTATATTATTAATATTTTATGGTACACACATGCACGTTTTATTTTTAATCCTTTGATAGAACAAAAGTTTATGGTTTATGGAAAATTAATAGATTTATGGAAAATAAAACAACTCTGCAACATTAGAAAAATATGTAAGAATTATTTGTTTGATTTTTGGCAATTACAAAATACCCTTATAAAATGAACACATTGCAGTTTTTGCATTTCTTAGATTGTTATATTTTGAGTAATATACTGTGACCTGGGTATCACAGAGGCAAATGGGCAATGCCCACAAGAATGAAGGATCCAGTATTCCAAATGCTTTAGGTACCAGACCATCGTACAATTTAGAGCATGGAAAGTTACAACAATTTTGACCAGCTAGATCCCGTCTCCCCTCTCTCCCGTCTCCCCTCTCTCCCTGTCTGTTCCATCTTATTTGCCTCTTGTAATGGTTTGTTTATATTTTCCATTATCCCAAGATATGTTTCTTCCTGTTATCCACAAGTTATGCCTTTTATTCAGGTTTAAACACATATCTTGAGTCTACATTATAATGCCAGCATCCTTGTGCTTATGGCTTCTCTTAAACTAAAAGAATATTCCCATCACCTACATTTCATCTTATAACGCTAATGTTCTGGTTATATGACGCATTAGGGACCATTAATTCTGCCGTGCCAACATGTATCTGTAATTTGAGCTTGTACATCACATTGTACAGTAAATACTAAAACAAACATTGGTGTTTATAATATTTCCATCATAATAAGTTTGTTTGACTTCATCAAACTGTGTATGTCAGAGCAGTGCCAGCTATTTCTCTTAGATAAAGAAAACAGTAGTGGGACATGTCTAGTTTAAGGCATATCTTAGAAGTCTTATGTTTTATACATTTGAACATGATTTCTTGTAAATGTTACTAACCATTGTTCATCAGCTATCTGAAGATATTTGTCCTTAAACAGACACTATAGTCACCAGAACAACTACAGCTTATTGTATTTGTTTTGGTGAGTATAATCATTACCTTCAGGTTTTTTTCAGTAAACGCTGTCTTTTCAGAGAAAACACAGTGTTTACAACACAGCCTATGGATACCTCCACTGGGCACTCCTCATATAGCTAATAGAGTTGCTTCCTGGGACGTGCAGCACTGCCATTCAGTGTCTCCACTCTCTGCATGGAGACAATGCACTTTCCTCATAGAGATTCATTGAAATCAATGCATCTCAATGAGGAGATGCTGATTTGTGCTGACTCTGCCAATGCTTTACTATGTGATTGGCTGAGACACTCACTTCTGGTGATGTCAGCCAAGCAGGCAGATCAGAGTCAGGGCCAGCAGCAGCAGACTGGAAAAAATGTAAAATGTTACTATATTTAGGGGGAGGAGGGGACTAGGTGGTGTTTTTAATACTACAGTGTCAGGAATACATATTTGTGTTTTTGACCCTACAGTGTTCCTTTAATTATATGGTCAAAATGCCCTGCATGTTTTCTTAGTGGATGGAAAAGTAACCACAAAGAAACCTGAAAATAATATGACTAACAAAACTTTGTTTATGTAAAAAATATTTATGGAAAAATATGTTTGCAAATTAAGGTGAGAATCTGAAAATAATTTAAGACTGAATCTAACTCTAAGCAATTCAACATTTGATATTGTTAAATACCCTCTATTGTTGGGTAAGTGGAACACTTGGATGAATTATTAGACCTCTTTAATAAATACTACTACATTCTCTTCTTGAATTTTATCTAAACATTGACAGTACGTGAACATATCTCATATCTCCTCTCTCTATTCACACCTCCAAGGTGAACCTGATAAGGTTTTGATGCCTTTCCTTGTAATTTATGTTAGGAACAATTTTTATCACGTTGGTACCCCATTTTTTTAATCTCTCTAAATTCCATCCTTTTAATCTCTCTAAATTGCTAATGTCCCCTGGAAGCTTTGGTCTTCAGAAATTGGATCAGCATTCTGTGTATGGCTTATGAAGGAACAAGAGCTTGTCTTTTTTCTGTACTATACAAACTATCCTACAGTAGTTCCCACTCCAGTGGAAACCAGAAGATAATAGTCATTATTTGACCAGAAATCCATTGTAGCTAGCTTTTCATTATCTTCATTCTCCAGTGATTATCAGAAAAGCCTTTTTCTCTGTGCTATACAAACTATCCTACAGTCTTGACCACTCCAGCGGAAGCCAGAAGATAGCATTCTATTCGTTATTTGGCTATAAATCTATTGTAGCCAGCCCTTCATTATTTAATGAGTATCTGAAAATCATTGGAGTTGTGGAAAAGCCAGAAAAATGACAGTCACACCAAAGTCAAATAGAACCACTTTATTTTCTTGTGTATCACTTGTTTCACCTGGTGCAACATCTAATGTATATAGCTACACTGCATTTAGGAATCAGTGCAGGCCAATAGTTAAATTTCCCCTAGAAAATATCAAGTTTCTCTTATAATATTATCTGCCTTTAAAGTATGTAGCACTTAACACCATGTTGGGATGTGTTAATCCCCAGCAGGCCTTGGCTAATAACCCCCTTAATATAGTCTGGCGCCCAATAAAATTGTTACTATATCTTAAGTGCCAGCACACCAGAGCCCTCAGGAGGTAATAAGCGTGTCATTGCTTAAAATGCTTAGTTTTGGCGATGGCTAATCTTGATCATGTGAGTTCCGTGCACAAGAGGAAAGCTGCGGAAGCAAGTAATGATCCAATGTCAAATTTTCTCTTATGCTTAAAAATGTAAATATAATTTTACCAGGTTGAAAAAAAAAAGCTGGCAGGTTAATGAATGTAAGGATCCTGTCATGTCTGGCTTCTCTGCAGAAATCTCAACATCTCTCTAATAGTCTCCCATTTACTCACAGGATCAACGAACTTTCTGTGCAGGTGGAGAAATTGAAGGGAGAAAACAGTAAGATGGAGAAGGAGAAGCATAAGCTGGTGAGTCAGTGGCTCTGTTAGGCATAGATTGGTCACGTGACCAGCAGTCAGTATGGGAACATTCACATGATCTTCTTTGCTAAATGTCTGCAAGGTATCAGCAGTAATGTGACATGGATATGGCATGGTAATATGTACCTACATGAAACAAATTGTATATTCATTCAGTAATCTGCAATATTAGGTTTGGAACTCAGGGGCATCAAAAAAGTATATAATATCTTTAATTTTTACAAAAAGTTGGATTATTTTCGTCTTTTTCTAATCTGTAATCTAGTAGACTTGTCAGATAAAGAACATGCATTTTTTGATGATGGGCAGGTAAAGGGTTCTGATACTTGCTTCAAGTCATGCTAATAGTACAGTAATTGGCACTTAAAAACTGGCAACGCATTTGAGGCAAAATTGTATTCCTGCCTGGTTAATCCATAAACAAAGCGTGTTGTATAAACGCTGACATTTTGCAGGATATCACACAGATAGTTATTGATCATAGCAACGTAAAAAACATCACACAATGCAATCTACAGAAACAGAAAACCAAATTATAAAAAAAAAATTTTATGTCAATACATGGTACAGAGCTTAAACTGATTGCCAATATTCATTGTGTCATAGTATTTTGTTTAATGTATGTACCACCAAGCTACACGATAACAAGCTTAGCCAACTGAAATAAAATGCCTTCTAATACTTTAAAGCAGAAAATGAGAACTCCACCTTAGTAAGATTCCCACATGACTTTAGCGCCATGGATCCCTTTTTGCTCTACAGGACAGCAGGCTTGTCCATTTTGAAGCACTGCAGCAGTATAAAGACTTGTGAAAAATAAATTGGCCAAAGCTGTCTATATATACTGACACTAGCTAGGCTATGGAGTGGCTAGAGACATCATCAGACATTGAGACACTCTGATAGACCACAACATTTAAAGACACACTTCATTGCTCAAATCTGAAATAAATAAAAAATCACTGTTTAGTAGATATACCCCGAATTAAAACCTGCATGCGTTTAATCAGACAATCAGACATTTTTTTTATTGTGGGTATATCTAAAAACAGCTTTTAAAAGTAACTGTTCTCTTATCTGCTGCCTTTGCAAACCCTCCCCTCCTAACCCACACCAGGCTTTCTGTGGCTGTCCAATCACAGACTTCCCAGTGCAGCTCAATGAAAGGTGCCCAGAGCAATTTCTGTCTATTGAGTTTAGCACTATTTAACAAACTGGAAGTAACAAGACCGGTTGTCTGATTGACAGCCAGGGGGTGTAACAAGGTTAATTTATAAAAATGCTCATTTCTATTGAATCAGCTATTTATTGTAAAATGAAAAGGTGAGGACACACTCTTCACACACAAATCATTTAAGCAAGCTAAAGTACTCTAGGGGTTTGGAGTGTCCCTTTAAGGAAACATGAACTACTTAAAGTGAACACTTGAAGGTGTTGATCCTAAATGGTAATAGACATAATACTGCTCATGAGCATTACGGAGGAGGGGCATCATAAACAGTTAGTCTTATTGCCCATACTACTCTAACAATAAAAATCCCACCCTCCTGACCCATCTTTTCATAAGTACTCAGAATCCTCTGGTTAGAGTTTTAAGCAAATACAATGCAATTTTTGAGATTTAACTTCTAACAATATCCTTATTGAATTCATTTTTCAAAGTGGTCATAAGCATACTGAAAATCAACTAGCAGGCTTTTCTTTTCAATAATCACTCACTGATAGTTAATAACTTTAAGGAACATGTTTATCTGGATCCTTTATTTCACTCTGGCAGCCTGTGTGCTATTAAAACAACTACATACAATTGTATTAAAAACTGTTTTTTATTAAGGAAAGTTAAAAGAGACGATGGTCATTTTATTGTGTACTACCTCACTATTCCTGAACGCCTGTCTTTATATTAATTATACTGCCAACTCTTACTGCTTTTATGTACAGCAAAATCCTTCATTTTACACTAGAGGGCACAATACTGGATTACTTAATAACAAACCTGTGCACACAACTCTATGTAACTAAGGTTGCGCACTATTGTAATGCAATACCTAATATACACTGGAAGGTATGCATAAAATAAGCACAGAAATCTACTTAAAGCAAAGAGTAACATTTATAACAAAGCATTTACTGCTACTCCGCTTGGCTTCTTGTCATTCTTTGTCCTTGCATTCAGCAGTCAAGCAGTTAATTTCAAACACGTAGATGCTTGTGTATTAATATAAGAACATGTTTAATATATATGGAGTGATAATACCTGGCATTTTTATATCAGACTATTAAACATCACCCTGTCAAATGTCTCCTGGTGTTTTATGGTCCCAGAGAAGGTGCTGAAAGATCTATTTATCCATTAACCCAAACAATGATGCTGTACAGTCACATAATGAGACGTAACCTGGACATAATATTTCCAATGGAGTTCTGTGAAGGATACCCGTGGGAAGGGTCCTACGGAGAGAGAGCAAGTTTTTATGTAAAGCGATTAGTTTACTCGGCTGATTTGTATATGGCTGAAATAGCTGGTCTCACCTTCCCCGATTACACACCTGGGATTTCTGTCACTTGCAGACACTTAATAAAACAGCTATAAATCTGATGAAATGATTTGCTGTGTAAGATTAGGTCACTATAATTGCCATCAGATGAAGCCTTGTGTGATCCATAGCCAGTTTAATTGCAGGACTTAGCTTTCGTGAACTGCTCACTAGGCGTCAGATGCCAATCTAACGATTCGATCACAGTGGGTCTTAGCTGCAAAAAATAAAAACACAAGTATGCAAGTGAGGTAACTGTTGAATACCCATTTATTTAGCATACGTTCTCAGAATTGGCTAATTCTCTAGTCTTGGCTGATTGTATGCTTATTGACTAAGACTCTTGAGTTTTCCTGTTTATGACAGTCGAACCTGAAAAAATAAAGCAAATTTGACAGCTGAATCTTATCTGGCACAGTGGACCAGCCATGGCTAATCTTTGTTATAGAAGTTGTTTTATGAACTACAGTAACCATAATTCTCAGCAAATATCCCATAATGCTCAGCAAACCTAAACAGAAACTGAACACAGATTATGTTTGTGTATTTCCAATATATGTTCAGTAAATGCTTGGCTCAACATTATGAGAAATGTAGATCATAAACATCTGCAAAGCCAAGACTGTCATTGCCTCTCAGCTTAAAAACAAAACCCGCTCTAGAACAAGAATTACGTTCACTTACAGTACGTCTGCTTGTGAGTTACCTGTATAATTTCTGTTTTTAGATGCGGGTGAGCACATATTACTTATTCATTGTATGGTTTTGTTTTTTATTGAAAGTTATATAAATAATAAACAGTACCTGCTATACAGTGCTGTTGTTACAACAGTAATCTCCAAGAAATATAATGAAAAACTAAGCATCAAAAAAGGAAAGGAAAAGGGGGGATATGGGTAAATTTCTCCTATGTGGGGGATAACCCCTAGTGAACAACTTCACCAAAAATACAAAACTAAAGAGAAAAAAAGAAGGAGAAGGATAGGACAAACGTATCTAAATAGTCCTAATAGAGTGGATTTCCCTCTAACAAGAGGGACATTGCATGGGGAAAATATTATGCCTAATAACTAATTCCCAAAATAAAACTTAGCTTTTAATAACAACTAACTAAAAACACAGATAACGGTTGGTACAATTACCCACCTAGACAGCTATGTGTATATATAGCCGAAAACCGGCAACTACAGGAGTAGTCTAGAGATGATCTCACGCTGAACTTCTAACATAAGATGACAGAGCGTTCAGAGAAAATAAATTGTGAAATAAATTAACAGACCATTCTTGATACTTTGTTGTGCAAATAAGTTAGCAACAGAGTATCAGATATGAGTCTAATCAGTCCTCCCAGGATACGGTCTGATATCTAGGAGAAATACTGTCAGTGTATTTAGACAAAAATAATCGATTCCCAATAGATTTAGGTCACTTATTCTGGTAAGGACTACAGGATCGTTAGTATTCTGAAGAGCTTTGAGTGGCGGAACGCGCCTCTATTAGGACTATTTAGATAAGTTTCTCCTATCCTTCTCTTTCTTTTTTTCTCTTTAGTTTTGTGAAAAACTAAGCAGTTTAAAAATTTAGACCAAACTATCTGATTTTGAAAGAAAATTCCAACTTGGCTACAGTCATGGCTTGGTTATTCTAGCCTCAATTTTGCAATTCTGTTTTCAGTTCACTACCCTCACTTTGTAATAAATAAATCCTCATGTCTTGCCGTCGAGATCAGTCTAGCAGGTAAATGTATATAAATTCAGGCACTCGCTACTGATTGGTCATATTATCTGTAGTGAATTCACCTCCCCTCTCCACCCCCATTTTCCCCAAAAAGTAAGCATTGCAGTAAAACTAATAAGATTATTCTTATAATAGCCCATTGTTAGTCGCCAAAACAACTTTAGCTTAATGCAACAGTTTTTGTATATAGATCATGCCCCTGTTGTCTCACTACTCAATTCTCTGCCATTTAGGAGTTAAATCACTTTGTTTATGCACTCTAGTCATACCTCCCTGCATGTGACTCGCACAGCCTTCCTAAATACTTCCTGTAAAGAGTCGTCTAATGTGTATACTTCCTTTATTGCAAATCCTGTATAATTTAGAATTTCTTATCTCTTGCACTGTTAATAGTTTGCAGGACCCTGCAGGTGCCTCTTGTATGTGATTAAAGTTTTAAATTTAGAGCACAGGACATAAAAACTTTTAAAGTACGTAACATGTGACTGAAAGTGAAACCATTTTTCATGCATGCTGTCTGAGTCACAGCCAGGGGAGGTGTGGCTAGGGCTGCATGTACAGAAACAAAAGTGATTTAACTCCTAAATGGCAGTGGATTGAGTAGTGAAACTTCATAGGCATGATCTATAGACCAAAACTGCTTAATTAAGCTAAAGTTGTTTTGGTGACTTTAGTGTCCTTTTAATTCCTCTTAAAGTAATTAATAAAAAAAAACAAAAAACAATCTGTCTACAATTTTAAAAAAAGCTTAAAAATGGCCCCCAAAGCATATTGTCCATGATAACTTCCTCAGAACATAAAACAGAATATAGCTATTTGCAATTTATATCTGGTTGAAATTAAATAAAACAATAGCTTAGTCTATAAATCGTATATTATAAATCCATTCAGTACATCCAAATTGATGGGGTAATGAAAAGGATACTGCCATAGCTCTCATTTCTATGACAAGGACACTAAATCGATTTACTGCAAAATTCTCACTAATTCACTACAATAATGAACCCCATATCAGTTCTAGATCCTCTATATTGTCATAGTTCACAAACAAAACTGTACCTAAACTTTTACCAGTATAAAATACCATTGTCAGGAAGCAGGATACATGCATTGGATTATAGTATGATTTTCTGTAAAAGGGAGGACATAGGAACAAATGTTTAAGTTCTCCAAGAGCCTGCAGCTCTCTCTCTTCCTCCCTTAGCATTGACCTAGTTCAGGTCAGTGAAGCAGAGGAATCCAGTTAAGTTCAGTTGTCAGATTCAAGAGAGTTGCGTCACTGTTTATTCTTTTGCTTGTTTGTCACAGGTTGTCACAAGTTTTCAACCTTGATCATGCAGTTTAATGTAAATTTGGCTAGTTTTATGTGGGATCCACAAGACACACTTCAAGGCATATGCTATTAAAAAGCAAGCTGATGAAAACAATATATTGAGGTTAAAGTGTAAAATATGTCGAAATGTCAATAATGAAGCAGAGTACAGAATCCTCATTTGGAGGCCTTTTCAGCCCCTGGCATGCAAATCAGTAGGGAAAGTAGGGCATATCAACATAATAAGGGGTTCTATTTACAAATCGTTCTTACTGTTGGTTATTGTTGCAGCTGTTTTTCTTCACTGAACATCTGTGGAATGATTCCCATTGCTTCACTTCATAAAAAGAAAAACATAAAGTTCTAGTAAAGACAGAAAAGTGGACCAATTATGCTTGTTACTTTAATTTATAAAGCCTGTCCCTTTTATCTGTAGGAGAACAGTGGATGTGACACTTTCCAGGAGCTGGAAGGTGTACGAGAAGAATGTGAATCCCTGCAGCAAGTCTTGAATGCTATCACTCAGGTACCTAACTAAACAATGTGACATAGAACTAAATACTGATCAAATGCCATGTATACTTAAATAACCCATAATACTTCTCATGTCTGTGCATATCCACCTCCCCTCCCCCAAAAAAAAAAATCTCCATGAAAATTCTATTTAGTGCAGGTTTAAAAAAGTTCTGAAAGGAGTTTAATAACCCAACTTGCTTACCATCAATAATCATAAATGGCTGGCAAAGGAGATCAGTTATAATAGCCAACATTCTTATTGTCCTCAGCCAACCGCGGCTGCACTCAAAACAGTCACACTGAAGGAAGTTTGTACACAGAATTATTAAACGACAACTTTATTCAACTATATAAATACAATTACAAACAGGTGTGAATACCATTTATATGGCGTGAGGGCTGGACCTCTAACATATCGTTTGTGCGTTTTAAACAACTAAACAGTTAAATCAGCCCAGGTGGCTCACTGACATGTACGTTGTGTTAATTTGTTAGTTACATAGTTTGTGTTACTTGAGTAAAATTGAATTTAAATATTTCTGTATATTGTGTTTATTCTTTGAAATTGTTTTGACATGGGGAGTAACGGTCACCTTGTGGCTGTGGATAATAAAAGGTTGCATACCTTGCAGGACTTGCAAACATATTTTCTTGGGTGATTTGGCTTGGTCCAACCTATAGTACATGATGTTCATGTTAAGCTCAGTTTAAGACCCATAACTTCAAATAAATCCCACCAATATGTACAAATCATAATACATTTCTTTGTTCAACTGTTTACCACTAATTATTTATAGGATATAGAGGTTTTCCTGACCGTTTTGAAAAATGAAAATAAAATGTAGAAACCCTGGCCAGCTTGTCACCCATTGGAAATAGAATTTTAAAATAAAAATCGAAGCAATGAAACCCAAAGAAACCCAAAGAAATGTAGTTGTCTTCTTAGTCTTAAATCTTTAATTGAGTTGCTGCACAAAGACGTTCATCCACCATAAAGCCTAAAATAGACAAAAAAAAAGGTCTTCTTATGCATGCATGTATATGAGTTTTAATCCAGTCGGTCACAATATACCAGCTTATTTCACAGAGTTTTCCAAGTTCAAAATCTCTGCAAATTTCAGCAGGTTATTCAAATCAGGAAGCCTTTACAGAGGCACTTGCAGATGTTCCTTACCATGGAAACATACATTTTTGTTTTAAATTGGATTCATTATATTCTTACTGCATATGCAGGACCTCTAGTAAGGCTGTAAGAGTGACTTACATGTTTAATACAATCTAAACCTTGCAACTCATATGAGACCAGAATCTCAAATAGCTAATCATCATAAATTGGCTTTAACCCTTAACTTTATATCCCTTATACATTGTTCTGAGTCTGCTCAATTTCCTTCATTACACCGTAATATCCCTTTTTGTTGTCCTTGTGATTTTCACAGATGTGTCAAGCAGTTGGTCATGCAGAAACAAAATGTTTGGAAAGTTCTGGAGCACCAGCTTTTGATGGCGTTAAACAGGCTCTGTTCACATCTCCATCTCACAGAAGATCTCCCACCCCTGTGCGTTCTCCTCTTAGACGAGATGCACCCCTAAAAATTGTGCAAAGCATTCTGCAGAGACAGCAGCAGACAGAGAAGGTAAGGAGCCAGCAGAAGCTCGGTTATGAAGAAGAAGATTCAGAATCTAGAGTATGCAGAAGAATGATCAGAAATTAGATCACGTTCAACCACTAGCATTGTCTCTATCTCTCACTGGCTGAGAATACAGGGCACTATTTGCAAACACAGTTGATGCATTGAAATCTGTGTATTTCAAGAGCATTAAAACATTTTAACTTGGTTCTCAAATACCACTCATCTGAAAACACAGCCATAATAATTGTAATGCATACTGCCACTGCAAACACACATATACAGTTATAGATGCCTATCATTCACTTCATGTTCTTGTTTAGGATCTCCGATCCGAGCTCAGTAATGTTCAAGAATCTTTGGAGTCTACCAAGAAGCAGCTTCTAGAGAATGTTCAGGAGTTTGAGAGGCAAAGACGAGACCTGAAGAGAGAGAAGGATGAGCTCTGCTGCATTCTGGAGGGGGTGAAACAAGAGTGTCAGAGATGTCAAGTCAGCCTTGAAGCTCTGAACAGGTACCAAAGAGAACCATCTTATATAATCACTTAGTAGTGCTTCATGAATTTAACAATTACTGTAAAATGTGTTATAGTGTTTTGTATTTGCTTTCTTTTTTTGGGTCGGTGATGGTTTTTGTTTTTTTAACCTCGATATATCCCCTCAATTTATACTGATTTTGAATTACTAATCCCATGAATATCTGCACACATTTGTAGATTTTGCAAATGTTATCTGATACAAATACATGTTCTTGCCAATGAAAATTACTGTAAATGTGCCAAAAGCTAGCTATCATGATCCCCCTGTACTTGAATAGGGTATTTTTGCTTTAAGGTTAACTGAAAACTCAGTATATAATCCTATCAATATAATCCTATCAATTTCAGTATTCATGAACTTAAAGGGACACTATGGTCACCCAGACCACTCGTCTCAATTAAGTTTGGATGCAGTGGATCCTTTTAGCCTTGCAATTTAAAACATTTCAGTTTTAAGGTTAAGTCCATCTCTAATGGCTGACATCCAACCTGCATCATTCTGGCATCATGTCTGATGCTGGATGCTATGCTCCCATGCCATTTTATGGTGCCAGCACGTCATTTATTGCGCACAGCCACATGCGTCATTTGTGCAACATCAGTTATGTACATTTGGCAATCATGGTGCAGTCCAATGAGAATTTACCAGTGCCTATTAAAAATCCCACCTCAAAAAGAACCTTATCCTGTTATGGTTTCCATTTTGTAGATCTGAGAGTGCTTTGTATTTTGATTGTTTTTCTGGTATTTGATCTCGCCTTGTCCTTGACCATTCTCCTATCAATTATCCTTGACCCTGGCTTAATTTCCTAATTATATGTTACTCTATATCCCTTGACCTCAACCTGTTTACTGATTCTCCATTTGCATGATCTAAGCTTGTTCCACATTTATTGCAACGGTGTCAAAGGGATACTATAGGCACCCAGACTACTTCATCTAAATAGAGGTGCTTCCAAGGAAATAGCAGAATAAGACGCTGCTATTTCTATCAGATGGTCTCAGAGAGACCATCTGATTGTTGCAGTTTGGTGTATAGTCGCACATGGACATTAGCCTTACAATGCTTTTTCGATGATCTCAGCCAAGGAGGCATGCCAGTAGGGCTTAAACCAGCGCTGCAAGAGAGAAACGGTAAGTAAAAGTACTTTTTTTTCCTCCCTGCAGATAGGAACTGGTCACCTAAACATCCACCAGGGCACTATAGCTTTTGGAATCCCTGACGCCTTAGTGTTTCTTTAACCCTGGCCACCTCTTAGTACCAGTAATACACTACTATACACTCCTTTTCAATTCTTTATCCTGCCTTTTTAAGGACTGACCTGAGTTCTAGGTGTAAGGGCCTTGTGTTATCCTGCCTTTCAAATCAAATTTCTATAATCAAAACAATAATTTGTCTTTGCTGTTGTCCTTAGAGAGAGGGATTCCTTGGAAGATTCTCTTCAATCTGTAAAGCAGAGGGCAGAGGGATGTCAGCTGGAAGTAGAACGATTGAAGTCCATGAACACAGATTTACTGCGCCAGAGGGATGTTCTAGAAGAGCAGAAAGAGGAGTTAACTAGGGAGCGTGAACGAAATCACAAGGAGCTTGAGAGAAGGTGAGGACAAGGATCTAGATGTATATGTGAATATGGGTTTGTTTGTGTTCTAAACTGTAGATTATAGGTTTAGTTTTCTAAACTTAATCAACAGACAATAATACCAGGTCAAGATACATATAGTACTAACCATATACAACCAGAATATATATGAAAGTCAAATCTTCACGCATTTTCTTGATCCTTTTACCATTACAGTCCTCAAAAGTGACAAAAAATGGAGAGACAACAGAAACAAACAAGAATTCGATAATGTAATATGTATGGTATAAAGGGAGATAATCTAAAATAAAAAAATGGCCACTCACATGGAACATAGCATCTTACAAACCCAGGTAGTAACAGCATGCAGCAAGTGGTACAATGCCAACCTACGGACACAGCGCTTGTTAATATTATCAAGTTTCTCAGGTGAAGATATGGAATGAGAGAAAAACAGCAAATAGTGTAGTAAATGTTTACTTTTTTAGAATTAAAAATCAGATTAAGTAGAAATGATTATGTGTGATTCAAGTTTGCTTTCTTTCTACTTGTCTTTAGCCAAAGAACTCAAGAACAATTGGAAGAAAAGGTCTCCATGCTGAAGAAAGATCTAGTGACTGTCCGAGAGAGTCTAAGTCAGACAGCTCTGGAGAGAGACGTCTTGCAAGGAGAGAAGGAGGCTGTGGCCAGTGCTCTTACCAAGGTTAGTTTGATGATAAACAATAAGAACATGCATACACGTTTGTATAAATATTTTGGAGGAACATCCCTTATAACCTGTCTTTCTGTTAAAATTGTGACTTTTTAAAATTTTATGTCAAATGTTTATGTAATTGATTATTTACTTATGTGTTTATTCCCATGTTTTATTGTCCCTTACTACCCTCTCTTACCTTCTAATTATTTTTGGGTGGGTAGCTTCCATAATCTTTAAAATGCCTTTTACATTAATAATTAATTTCCAACATTGTTGGCCATTTGGCCATAGAATTTGTACCTTAAATAACTACCCATAAATAAAACAGATTAGGAATGTTTAGAAAAATACCACTTAAAAGCACTGTAGTTTCTACAAACCTAAAACTGTCCTTTGAAAAAAAATAAAAATATTGATTGGAAAATATTGCCCTGAAAATGCACTGAAATAATAAAGTTTTATCTGCCCCACATCTTTTATAAAATTTATTTCTGGAATTACTCAAATAATAACATTGTCATGATGTGTAACATTTACAATTTACAAAAGATATATGTTATTTTTATCTATTTAAGTCTCTAATTAGCTTGCTTCTTAGCTAAGCCTTGTGATCTCCAGTGTGTCCTCATAATTTATCTATTGTTATAAATATGTCCAAATAATGGGTATTGAGAGCGATCAGATTAATCCCTAGAAAAATCTGAGTTAGCCTTGGCTACTTATTCTAAACCTTTCTGTGGGAAGCAGCATTATTTGTGATCTCATTGAGAAAGATATCAGTTCTAAATATTCAGTTACTAATTGTTAATCTGAAAGAGGGTCATCCTCAGGACACACCACATAGAAGATCTTTCATGGAATAAAAACTGTCCACTGACTGAAATGGAAAATATTGATATAACTACAGTACACAGTGTCTCTGGTGTGTATGGTGTGTTTTTAACACGGATTTCCTTGCCAGGCTGAATCAGGCAGAGTGGAGTTAGAATTGGCACTCACTCAGATACGCAGTGAGCGGGCGGCACTGAACGACTCTCTTGCCAAAATGGGTGCATTGAATGAGGGCCTGGCACAAGACAAAGTGGAACTAAACCGTGTCATCCTGCAGGTAATAATGAGCTTGGAAGACAGTGTCACACTTGTTCCTAGTCTTTCCTGTCCACGTGTCACACTTTTGAGCTCTATGTAAACATCAGCTGTTTATTTTTATTATTTTATCTAGCCATTCTGTTGTCTTGACTTCTTGCTATTTGGCAATGCATGTCTTCTCATTTTAAACGCAGCCATATCATGCGTGCACTACCCGTACAATTGCATTGGTTTTTAATCTGAACATGTATTCCTATAAAATATATGGATTGCTGAAATGAAAGGGTAAAATGTGGCCTTGCTTAATACTTTACTCTAGGAGTTATTAATGTCACACTCCCAGTTGTTAAAAGAATCACAAATTCCATAATGCTTTATCAGTAATAACTCTTGCAGAGCATCTTGGGAAGTGTAGTGATCTAGGAATCTACATTCTGCTTTACTCTTGTAAAATGTGTCTCCTCATTATACAATTGCCAGGCAACAATATATTTACCTCAGTGTTAGCTAATATTAAATGGAGATGTCTTTGTGCCGGCACTGTTTTGAAACAATCTATATATAGTGTGCAATCCTTCTGGAATACATATAGGTTAACTTGGAGGAGAGAATTTTAAGATTTTAAAGTAGGACGTGCATGCAGCTTAGAGTTGTATGTTTCCTCATTTACCTGGTTTCTTTCACCACCAACACTAGCTGGAGACCGAGCGTGGGTCCCTACTTGAGGAGCGCCGAGCCAGTGAAGCTAGCTGCATGGCTTTGAAGGAGGAGCGCGAAGCTTTGGAGCTGGAGGTGTCCCATCTGCAGGCTGAAAGGACAGGGTTGGAACGCAGGCTTCAAGAGGCTGATGAAAAGCATCAGAGGCTTGAGGAGCAGTTCCACTCCATACGCAAGGAGAGGGCAAAGTTACAGGAGCAGCTTTCACAGGTAACAAGTAAAAGTAATTGATCTCTGACATCCATACTCTGTGTGGCCTAAAATATCATTCCTAACTGTAATGTTCACAAGCAATTGATTGGAACAGTTTTAGTGTTAGAGTTTGTTTCTTGTTAGAATGTGCCATTCACTAGACTAGAATTGTGTAGACAGGCAATAGAATCTGAGCTTTTGCCCACTATAAATGAATTAGAATAATTCCCCAACTAAGCTATTTTAGTAATTCCTTGCCCATTCTCCACCAGTTGCATTTTATGGAATAGCCCTGTGAATTTAATGCGTTCTCTCTGCTTTTTCATAAACAAATGAAAGCTATTACATCTCAATCAAGAGATTCAAATAATGTTTTAATTGGGCAGGGCACATTATCCTTATCTTAAATTTGCTATTATTCAACAGGTCACGGCATTGACACAGACACTGCAAGGTCAGTTGCACGAAAGCAATAGAGAAGTAGAGTTGCAATCCTCCGTCCTAAAACGCACATCTCAGCGTGTAGAGGAACTAACCAATCAGAATGCAGAACTTGGAGTGCAGCTGGCTGCCATGGATGCTGAGGCACAGGAGCATGAGGACGAGTTTACTCAACTCCGGTATTTTTGCTTACCTTTAATTTCTTTGACACTTCTTCCGGTATGTCCACTGTCTCTGACTTTCTCTGTGGTCTCTCCGGCACAGAGCTCAGAAGGAGGCCCTGGAGAGCGCACTGTACGAAACACAGCGGAGAGCAGCGCAGTTAGAAGATCGTAGGGAACAGCTGGAAGGAGAGATACATGTACTGATGGTTGCCAAACAGGACCTTCAAGGTATCACAATGACAGCAATGCATAGTGCTTGCATATCACTATTTTTAAATGCTTTATAGAGATAGGAAATGCAAAAAATACATAAGTTTAATCAAATTTCAGGGTATTGTCCAGGTTGCATCTTCAGTGTATTGAACTCCTTAAATTACCACTCGAAAGGAAAATGGAAAAAATGTCTGAATTAGTGCATAGTGCAACACGCTTTGTCTTAATTACTTTGTCTATAAAGTTTGTGTTACATATTTACACAACATGTGTGCACATGATTTGTTAGCTATCCTAATAGCACCATTGCAGTACAATTTACCATTTGTATTTCTTTCTCACACCTACTATGTGATCAAAACCTGCTACGAGTCTATAATAGTCTCAAAATACACACAAATTAGACATTAAGGTCAAGTCTCCCAACTCCAGTGCTATGAATATGAAATTCAAAGTGACTTAATATATATTGTTAACACAGCTGTGTCTTTGCATTGCTGCTAGCACCCAGGCTCCACTGACTATCTTTTTCCATCAGCGGAAGCGCAGCGGCAAGCACTGGAAGCTGAGGAGGCGATGGCCGAGCTGCGACAGCAGAAGGTTACTCTGGAGCTCCGACTCACTCAGGCAGAGCAAGCAGCACAGCTGTCTCTCAGTAACCAGGCCCAGCAACACCAAGACACCGTGGAGAGACTCAGGAAGGAGCAGGTTAGTGTCCATGTCTGTGTGTGTTATGAATAAAGGATATGTTGTTACAGACAGCCAAACACTGGTATAGCTATAAATCTAATGTGTAAGTGCTTAACCTCTCGCAGGTGTCACTAAGTACCTCTGGCAATAAATGTGTGAAAAGGAAAAACGTTTCCACATAGAAAAATAAACGTCTAACCAGCTCACTTTCCTCTGTATGGTTTATTCACCTTAAAATGAACTCTTTTGCGTCGGTGTGAGTACTAATCAGATTATTAGTTTATGTGGTTCACTTGACTCAAACATAGAGGCATTTTAAAAGTAATTAATTTTGTGAACCTGTAAAGAATAAAGTTTGCTAAAATTGCATTTTAATGCAATAAATAATGGAGAATGTGTTTAAAATATTGATTCTTTCACTGCCGGAGCTCCAGATTTCACACATGATTCTCTCTCGATTCTCTCTCTTTTCTGTGAAAGGGTTACATGTTGTGCACTCTAAGTACCTTAACAATTTGTGTTCTTTACACAGTTTGTGAATTAAGTAAATCCATTGACTCCATACATATATGCTTATAACTGCAGTGCTGCTTTGTAGACATTTGAGCTTAGCACTGACATAGAATGTTACAGGCGTATTATAACTGTCTGAGTCACTAACTGGCCTGAGATGACCTCATTACAGAAGCTTAGTGGTTTACGGCACATACATAAATTTCAAATATTTTATTTTCAGTGTATTGCACATAGCTGAATGCATTGTTTACATTACTGATATAAAAGAAAGGATGGATTAAATCAGGCCTATAGTGTCCCTTTAATTCTTGAAAAGTCTATTGTTTATCATAAAGAGTGTACCACAGGAGTGAGTGAGGCCACAGGGCAAAAACAGGCAAATGTTAAAACCAGCTTAAAATCATATGATTCGATTAAGGTTGTTACACACTAGCAGTTAACAGGTAGGGTTATCGAGCGAGTTTTAGGTTTGAAATTGTTCTTTAAAAAGGTTTTGATTTTCATTCCTTGAATAGCATTACACTGTGTACAAATCCATTAAAAGCCACTGAGGTAGCCCCTTATGGTTGCAAAAGAGCGCTTCCAATCTCAGGGTTGCAGCTTCTAGCATTCGTAGACTCTTTTTGCTTCAATATTAAAATGAATACTATTGAGACAATTAAAAGGGCAAAAACTATAATCATATATCTATTATTAGTATTATTATTTTTTTGCAAGCAAATACTTAGACATTTCGTCTTCAGTTTTAGTTTCATGGTAAAAATCCCCCTTATAACATTATAAAAAACAAAGAAAAACAGAATAAGAGCTAAAATATAGGTAGAATCTAAGGAATAAAGTATACTAACAATCTTAAATATGAATGTGTAAAAGAATGTAATGCCAAATCCTAACTGATTCTGGATTAAAACCAAACCAATTCTTCCACTGGCATCTGATATGTTTGTGAAGGCTTTTTATTAACAAGATGTAAATTGTCTGTTTATAAATTCATATCATGACAACAACGGGTACAATCATAAACAGAAAAACTCAGTTAAACCAAGTGATCTTTAAATGTGTCATTTGGTCAACATTTTTTCCAAATGGAAATAGTGTACATTTCTTTTACTTACAGATTGTTCTGTCATTAAAATAGCTCCAATTGCAAATCCACCAGCTTTAGAAAGTGTACAGACTTCAAGATCTCATGTCCTTTTCCAATAAGGCTAAATAGCATTTAGTCCCCTTGGAGAGAAAAGCATCATATGAAAATACATAGTTATGAGGTAGACTGAATCCGAGGATTCAGATCACAAGTTGATGAATGTGATCTATATGATAGGAAAGCAAATCATTTCACCTCTTAGCAAACATAGCCCTATATATTTTATTTATCATTTTAAAGCTGTGTAGTCTGAAAATTCCACATGCTTTTTGTTTTATAACTGTATGGGTCCTAACCTAGAGAAAAAAAACGAAATTGTGGATGCTATGGCCACTGTATTCATACCACCTTTTCAGTAAGATTTGCAGGTTGAAGGTGTGAGTTACATTACTTCTGGGGGCAAGTATTTGCTGATTATATATTTTACTTGTTGCCCTCATCTCCAGGAGAGTCTGCGTCTGGCAATGATTGTGGAGAAACAGGAGGCGGTGCAGCGTTTGGAGAAAGAGAAGGAAGAGCTGCTTTCAGACAGTGAGCTTGTGAAGCAGAAACTCAGCTCTGATATCATGCGTCTGCAGGAAGAGAAAGAGGAGAGCTTGCTTAAGGTGGAGAGCGAAAAGCAGAAGGTTAGTGGGTGTGAATGGGTGCTGAGACAGAAAGACAAACCTCAACATCTCAAAGATGTCCAAATTATTCCTTCATCTTAACCTTGAACAATCACAGCCCTATTGGGATTTTTTTTTCCTTACAGCTTACCAAAAGTCAAGATTAAATTTATCAGTATCATTTCCATTGCGTTAAAATTATTAAATTTTATTAATGGTTAGGAATTAGGAAAATCCCATTATATCATATTTTTCCATGGTGTTGTCCATACTGGTGGAGAGCCTTCAAGTGGAATATACTGCTCTTGAAGTGGTGACTGCTCAAGAGGAGTAACTACTTACACTAGGGTGATATGTTATCAACTGCTAAATACACATATTGTAGTCGGGGACATTAAGCCGTAATAATATCTTATGAGTAGAAGTAAGCACAAGTCGGTTGTGGTGTGCCAGAACCGATGCATGGGGTAGGCCTGTAATAAAAGAGGGCCCACCCATGAATTGATAAACGGGAGAAGTGGGAGGGATGAACCCAGCGGTGACGGTTCTGTCATGGAGGGGGCCTGAGTTTTTAGAGCCGGGTAACCCCTTCCACAATTACAGGCTACGCTTTTATATTTGTAGTCGGGGACATTAGGCCATAATAATAATAATATAATATAAGTAGAAGTAAGTACAAGTCGGTTGTGGTGTGCCGGAACCGACGTATGGGATAGGCCTGTAATAAGAGAGGGCCCACCCATGAATTGTGACAAAGGGGAGAGGTGGGAGGGATGAACCCAGCGGTTACGGTTTTGTCAAGGAGGGGGCCTGAGTATTTATAGCCGGGTAACCCCTCCCACAATTACAGGCTGCACCTTTATATTTATCAACCAAAATGGCAGAATTTACTAATATAATAAAATAAGCAACCATGGGAGTCATAGGATGTAACTTAGAGATTCATAGAATATACTTACCTATCATAGATTCATGCAAAGAGGTTGTGTTCTATTCATTGCTGTTATTATTTCACTTTATTTTCTGTTTAAATATTGCTGTATGTACAAAGGTCACACTTTTTGTAATCTCTGAACACTTTATTCTGGTCCTTTATGTAACATGTTATGTAGGTTATGTTTAACACACACTGCAAATTTAAGGCCAAAGTAGCCAAAATGGAAAAATTATCCAAGTCAGCAATGCTTCTAGTTCAGCTACTTTGGCCTAACATTTAAAATTCACTTTTAAATCCTGACAATTCCTACTTTAGTGGATACTCCTGTATGTCACAAAGAAGCCACTTCAACCCTTACCTTAAACCCTCCTAACCCCAAATAAAACCTAGACCCCTTACACCAAAAAAACCCTAAAACAACTTTTCTTATTTTTTAAAATTCAAAATATGTTTGCCTCCTTTCACTAGTGGACACCAAGATCACACTTAAAGGAAGACTATAGTCACCTAAATTACTTTAGCTAAATAAAGCAGTTTTAGTGTATAGATCATTCCCCTGCAATTTCACTGCTCAATTCACTGTCATTTAGGAGTTAAATCACTTTGTTTCTGTTTATGCAGCCCTAGCCACACCTCCCCTGGCTATGATTGACAGAGCCTGCATGAAAAAAAACTGGTTTCACTTTCAAACAGATGTAATTTACCTTAAATAATTGTATCTCAATCTCTAAATTTAATTTTATTCACATAGAGGAGGCTCTTGCAGGGTCTAGCAAGATATTAACATAGCATGGGATAAGAAAATCTTAATTAAACAGAACTTGCAATAAAGATGGCCTAAAAAGGGCTCTCTTTACAGGAAGTGTTTATGGAAGGCTGTGCAAGTCACATGCAGAGAGGTGTGACTAGGGTTCATAAACAAAGGGATTTAACTCCTAAATGGCACAGGATTGAGCAGTGAGGCTGCAGGGGCATGTTCTAAATACCAAAACTGCTTTATTAAGCTAAAGTTGTTCAGGTGACTATAGTGTCCCTTTAATCTTTACTTGCTTTGCAATTAGATGTGAACCCTATGGGGATGTATTTACTATGTGGGATTAATAAACTCACAATCTATCTTTTTCAGAAAATAGTATGGTATTTAATTACTAAATGTGCTTTCTTGCTACCACTCAAACACAGTTAAACATACTCGTTTTCCTGGCACTATAGTGCCCTGAGGGTGCCCCCACCCTCAGAGTCCCACTCCCGCCGGGCTGGATGGAGAGGAAGGGGTTAAACACTTACCTTTCTCCAGCGCCGGGCTCCCTCGGTGCTGGAGACTCTCCTCCTCCTTTTCCCGTCATCGGCTGAATGCACATGTGCGGCAAGAGCCGCGTGCGCATTCAGCCAGTCCATAGGAAAGCATTCTTAATGCTTTCCTATGGACGCTGGCGTCTTCTCACTGTGAAAATCATAGTGAGAAGCGCGGAACTATAGCAGTTCTCTGAAACTGCTATGTTTACAGCAGAAAGGGTTAATCCTAGCTGGACCTGGCACCCAGACCACTTCAAGCTGAAGTGGTCTGGGTGCCTATAGTGGTCCTTTAATGCAATGCATGCACTCAGTGACCTTTGCATTGATCTGTGCATCCTTCCAGATCTGGGGAATGACACAGAGGTGAACACTTAAATTACAATGATGTTAGTAATATTCAGGGTTTACTTTATAAATATTAATTATTATTTTGTTTCTAGGCCTTGTTCCTTAAAGAGACAGAAAAGAATAATCTCAATGAAAAGCTGGTGCAGACACAGAGGGAGCTCTCCGACACTAAACTGGAAGCCGAGAGGTTTAAACGTGAAGTTCAAATAAAGCAGGACCAGGACAAGGTCAGCAGTTATATAAATATAGCTTGTTTCTCAAATGGTATCACATTAAAATATATAATGTCAATGCTTTCCCTGTGAGTTGACACCAAAATAAAGAATTAATATATATATAAATATACATATATATATATATATATATATATATATAATGTCAACTCCTTTATTTAGATTTATCTAGGCAAAAGGTAGCTGATCTTATGTTGCCCCAATCACACCTCTAAATAAAAATGATAGTATTGCAATATGTAGCTCTTTGACTTTTAATATTAAATCTAGATTTCCTGTCCTAACGTGTCTTATACCCCACCTCCTATAGACTGTAAGCTCGTTTGAGCAGGGTCCTCCTCAACCTATCGTTCCTGTAAGTTTTCTTTTAATTGTCCTATTTATAGTTAAATCCCCCCTCTCATAATATTGTAAAGCGCTACAGAATCTGTTGGCGCTATATAAATGGCAATAATAATAATTAATAGAGGTCTGTTTGTGAATGCAGTTTGTACTGTGATAGGCCTTATACTTACTATGTAGGATTTCATGAAAAAAATAAAATGGCTCTGAGACACTGAACTGGATTGTGATGCATATATATGAATTAAGAATATTTATTAATTCATGTACATGCCAAAAGGAGATATATGAAAATTGGAGTAAATCTCTGTGCGGTTGTCTTTTGCTTAGTACCTGCTCAGGTCTCAAACACGATTTAGCTCACATATGCCATTACAGAGTGAACCTATGCTCTTTACATATCAAAGCATCATTAGCCTATTCCTAAAATGCTGACAGGCTGCTTTTGCACTAGGGATACAGTAGCCCAGCTACAATTTTTGCTCATACATACATTTGGCCATGGATATGAATGTATGATTGATTCCATATATTAGCACAAATGAAGATGCAGCTGAAACTGTGACATCAGAATATGGATTTGGCAGTAAAGACAACAAAGGAATGTTTTACCAGATATTGCTCTGTTCTTGTGTCCCCAGTCTGTGCTGGATGGAGTCTCCTCTGAGCTTAAGGCTCTTCAAACTGAGTTTGAAGATGCAATGTTTGCGCACTCTAAAGAGAACAAGAACCTCTGCGATCGTGTAAAGCAGCTGAGCCAGGATAGGGAGAGTCTGACTACAGAGGTAAGCATGGTCCATGACCAGCCATAGATATCACAAAACAAAATGAACACAATATTGCTATTTGAGTCATATCTCTACACCTCCATACACTATGTAATGAAACAGAAAATATGCTTTTGGCATGACATTCCTCAAAAACTCCATAAAAAGAAAAAAATTTGCCTGTTGTCTGTTATCTGCCGCAGGTGGAGGAACTTAAAACACTGTTGCGAGTAGCTGAAGACTCAAGAGATGGGTTGCGCAGGGACATAATTGAGGTACAACGTCTGCTCCGAGAGATGGAAGATACTTGTGAAATTCAGAGGAAGGAGACGTTAGAGCTGCGCCGGGATATTGGAGACCTGACCCGTGAAAGAGAAACTCTGCAAAGGTCCAATACTGAGCTGAGGACAAACATCAAGAAAACAGAGACGGAGAGAAGCAGGTAAGATTTACTACACAGATCCAAAGGCACTCTGTGAACTTTGAATTATTTTAATTCTATCTTGTAACATACCAAAGTAGTGTGATGAAACTGTCTTTGGTGCTCGGCAGCTAATGCTCAGACTGTGAGTGATGGCAGCTTGTTTTGTTTACCATGGGATACTTTCAGTATGAAATTTATTTTTACAGCCTACTTATATTTCTAGAACCTACTTATAGCAAACTTTGTACTGTATAGTACGTTTTACTTTATACTATAGTTTGGAGTGGCCCACTAAATGTATTGGCTATATCCATAAAGAAAAGAATAGGCAAAAATAGTCTCTCTAATTTAGATTGTGTTACATACAGTGAAAGTCGTCTACATAGTTACCTTGTTATTGGCAAGACTAGGTTCCTGCCTAGGAATACTGCTACATGAAACATTTCATTAAGGAAGTCAATACAAAATGCAAGATGCTTTGAGTATAGTCGTGGAAGGAGACACTGGAATCACTGGTACACTGTCACTTAGTCATTGGGCTGACACTAGACTTCCATGGGCAGAAGTTGAATAACTGGCATGGATTAGGAATTGTGGTTAAGGCATTAGAGGCATACATTTCTTTAGGCTGGGGGATACTCCTCCCAAGTGAGCTCATAAAGGTACATGAAAGAAATATATGTACCTCTGGAAAGGATGCTGGTGTTTCTTAAAGAGACGCTATAGGCACCAAAACAACTATAACTTAATGAAGCAGTTTTGGTGTACAGATCATGCTCCTTCTGCCTCATTGCTTAATTCTTGATCATTTAGTAGTTAAATCATGTCCTTCTCTACATTTGCCATCTTATTATAATTTTTTATTATTTATGTAAATACTGTACCTTCCTAGTAAACCTAAAAATCTGTCTACTTTTCTGGTTAAATTATTCTTTAACGGGGGGGGGGGGGCAGAGCTTGACCTCGGAGCTGTGCAGACTTGGGCAGCACGAGTTCTTGTCTCGAGAGCAGATTTTGGGTTATAATCGGCGGCTACATATCCACAAGACTTACCGGGGTGCGCTACCCACGTCAGTGGTGCACTGCTGAATTGAGTGACAGCTCCCTGGAGCCCATCAAGGCCGGGAGAACGGAACGCCACGTGCAGCCTACTAGAGTTGGTGCTGAGGAGAGGTGGCCGCTCTCCCTGACACCGGACTCACCTAGCGACTCTGCTGGTCTTCTACCCCTTCACCCCCTTTGGACCGGTGGGGGTTAACCTGGTTCCCACTGGGTTAACGGACTAACGCTCTCCCTGCTGTATCAGCATACCGCTCACAGCAGACACCTAACGGTGCCCAGACCACACAATATGGCGGAGGCCCTTCCACAAACATCACAAACCTTCAGCCGGTCACAAGGGCCCAAACAGGGCACCATCGAATTCCAGGCTGGACGCACTGCAGGCACGTTCCACTGCCATCCGGTCCAAGCAGAGGATGGAGAGAAACTCATGGACCGCGACGGGAGGGACACCTCCGGGCAGCGCACCCACCCAAACGCTTAACCGGTCCAACGACCGCCTGCCTAGGCTGAAAGCCACCAGAGGCATGACCTCGAGACACAGGAGGAAGGTCACACAATGCTGGCGGCGCATGCCACCTCGATCTTCCAACTGCCTCTTGGGGGGCCAGGACTTGACCATGAAAAGGTACCGAGTCTGACGACAGAGGGTGTCTGCTTTCACAAAGGCCTGGGGCTGGAGACATAACTCTCTTACCTGTCGCCCCCCAGCTGATCCCGGAACCTCGCATGCATGCTCGGCAGACTTGCCACCCCAGGGAATTGGCTGACACGACCGGGGACCTGCAGTCTGTCAAGTGGTAACCAATGAGGAAGGCAGAGGCTATTAAGGACTGAGCCAACCGAGCAGTACTCATTGCCTTTTTTATGTTAACATTATGTGCCCTACTATCTTACATGTCTCTAGTGCAGCAATGTGTAACATTCTATGCCCCAGTGGTTCAAAGCTGGTTTGGTAAGACAACTCAGTGTATTTAACTGTAACTTTACATGTACTTATCAATGGCTCTGTGTTTCCTGTTTCCTAGTACTGTGTGTGGTAAGCATCAACATAGAATAGTTCAACTTCTCATCCACACAGGTGCCTTTCAGCGATAATTCACAGGGACTACCAGCATACTCTTAGCTAAATTTAATCATACTATGCAGTATTTACCAGCATGTTCTCTTACCCCACCTTATATAAAATTGTGCTGTTTCATTGCAATTGTACATACCCTAGCTTTTTACATCAAATCTGCATGCAAACTACCTGTATAATTGTGTCAATTCATATGCCTGCTGTTGTTGTTGTGATGCAGCGGGTTCCTAGGTGGCCGCCATTTATACTCTTCAGCACTGAAAAAATAAAAATGTACACCAAAAAAAAAGATTCTTTAACAGTCAATGTAGTTTTAATGTACTTCCCTCAGACTTTAACCTCATTCGAGCCGGGCCTTACTAACATAGAAACATAGAATGTTACAGCAGATAAGAACCATTTGGCCCATCTAGTCTGCCCAATTTTCTAAATACTTTCATTAGTCCCTGGCCTTATCTTATAGTTAGGATAGCCTTATGCCTATCCCACGCATGCTTAAACTCCTTTACTGTGTTAACCTCTACCACTTCAGCTGGAAGGCTCTTCCATGCATCCACTACCCTCTCAGTAAAGTAATACTTCCTGATATTATTTTTAAACCTTTGTCCCTCTAATTTAAGACTATGTCCTCTTGTTGTGGTAGTTTTTCTTCTTTTAAATATAGTCTCCTCCTTTACTGTGTTGATTCCCTTTATGTATTTAAATGTATCTATCATATCCCCCCTGTCTCGTCTTTCCTCCAAGCTATACATGTTAAGATCCTTTAACCTTTCCTGGTAAGTTTTATCCCGCAATCCATGAACCAGTTTTGTAGCCCTTCTCTGAACTCCTCTCTAAGGTATCAATATCCTTCTGAAGATACGGTCTCCAGTACTGTGTACAATACTCCAAGTGAGGTCTCACCAGTGTTCTGTACAATGTCATGAGCACTTCCCTCTTTCTACTGCTAATACCTCTCCCTATACAACCAAGCATTCTGCTAGCATTTCCTGCTGCTCTATTACATAGTCTGCCTACCTTTAAGTCATCAGAAATAATCACCCTTAAATCCCTTTCCTCAGATATTGAGGTTAGGACTCTATCAAATATTCTGTACTCTGCCCTTGGGTTTTTACGTCCAATATGCATTATCTTGCACTCATCCACATTAAATGTCAGTTGCCACAATTCTGACCATTTTTCTAGTTTACCTAAATCATTTGCCATTTGGCTTATCCCTCCTGGAACATCAACCCTGTTACATATCTTAGTATCATCAGCAAAAACACATACCTTACCATCAAGACCTTCTGCAATATTACTAATAAACATATTAAAGAGAATGGGTCCAAGTACAGATCCCTGAGGTACCCCACTGGTAGACCTTGCATTGAATATACTCCATTGACTACAACCCTCTGTTGCCTGTCACTCAGCCACTGCCTTACCCATTCAACAATATTGGAATCCACACTTAAAGATTGCAGTTTATTGATAAGCCTGCAGTTTATTGATAAGTAACATTTGTTACTGTATGCAAGACTTTTTTTATCTCAATTATTTATTTATTTTCTCTTTTGCTTATTCACCATTTGGCACTGTGGAAACTGTTGGTTCTTATAAGAAATAATAGCTAAATTATATTTCTCTCAGTGTTTGTGCTGGATTTATGTGTGTATAGAAGCTTTTCAGCCTGTGAATGTGTGTTTACATGTGGTGATTCTCACTGATGTCACCCTCAGCCTGCATGTATCATTGGAGGAGAAACTGCAGCGCCTGTCTGTACTGCAAGAGGGGAAGGCATGTGCAGAACGGGAAGCAGCGCAGCTGAGAGCCAGCCTGCGGGAGGTGGAGCGTGCCCATATAGAGGCACGCAGACAGTTACAGGAGCTACGAAGACAGGTACAGGGCCTTGCCTTGAGTGTCATTTCTGCTAAATACACCTGTTAATATTAACATTTGTAAATAACAATTCTAGTAAACAGGTAAAATATATTATAGAGATATTCGCTGTCAGAATTATCAGGCATTGAAAGTGATTTTCAAATTTAAAGCCCAAATAGCCGAAACTAGAAGCATAGCTGCCTTGGATAATTTCTCCTATTTGGCTATTTTGAAAATTCACTTTGAAAGCCATACCCTTTTATTCCTTTTAGTGAGATAGAAAATTAAATAAAATGTTAAAAATGTTAAATCTATGCAAATATATCGAAGATCATTAAATAAGATAAGTGCAATATAATATGAAAATGGAGATGTTCTCTGAAGCTAGGAAATGCATAGGTGCATTCTGTAAAGTTAGATGTTGGGGTTCCCATAACATTGCATTAATACAGCCTTACTCTCCTGCAGGTGAAGACACTAGGTGGAGAGAGCAGTCAGAAGGAACAAGAGGTGGCTGATCTCCAAGCTCGCATACAGCAAGAGGAGCAGAAGGAGCAGCAGAGCCGGCGGGAGTCACTGGAGCTGAGACAACGAATAACACAGAGTGAGGTCGAACGAGAGGCTGCTCGCAGAGAGGTGAGTAGTACTGTGTGAGACCCCGATACCTGTTGGAAGACTATTCTGAATGGCATTTTTAAAGTGACACTCCGCTGCCCAAATAGGAAAACAAATAGAAGACATCAGTTTCAAATCTCTTTTTATGTTTACACACATTCTATGTTTCTATGTAACCCCTATTACTGAATAATCCTCTTCATGCCCACAATTTAGCAAAATCAAATTTTTCCTGTTTCTTTGGTACTAGCGTTATATGAACCTCGTGTACTCTACACCGAACAACATCCCTTAACCTTTTAACATTTAGCATTATCACAAAAGTCCTGCAAGTGGCACAGGTGGTTATAATTTACAGTGGGAAATAAAATTATTATTCTAATTTATATATCAACAGCAAATTCAGAAGACATAGACACAATAAGTTAACTAGTGTTACACTTCATTTGACAAACATCTGTCACTAGGCTGCATTAAACCTGAGGAATAATATACGTTATCTTTGTGGATCCCTTAATTAATCTGCACTTTAATCTACCCATTTCTTTAGATATTGTCCCTGCAGCAGCGCCTGTCTGCATTAGACTCCTCTTCATGTCAGCGTGAAAGAGATCTTGAGCAGCGTCTGAATGAGAGCCATGCTGCGGAGCAGCGTTTGCAGGAGTCATGCAAGAATCTTCAGGAGCAGATTCAGCGTGGGACCAGAGAAGCAGAAGATCTCCGGCTCCAACTGGGAGCTTATGAGGCAAGAGTGCGGGCACTTGAATCTGAGCTGAACAAGATGCAAACAGCACGTAGGGAAGCTGAGGCACAGTTTAGCAACTTGTCTTCGGTAATCCGACGGACTCTTGGTGTCAGAGGTCGCAGTCCTTCACCCCACAGACCAATGTCTCCCAGTAAAAGTAAGTGAAGGTCAAGAGCCGTAATCCTTGACATTACAAATATTTGCACTACTTTTCTTATGATGCTTAGCTATTCAAAAGTCTATAGGTGCAAAGGTGAAAATGAAATTCACAGGCACCTGGAGTGCCAGATTAAGTACAGCTGTTCTAGGGAAATGGATAACTTTGGAGCTCTAGATAGCTCTAACATTGGATACTTCAGGGACATATTTTAATGGAAAAGACACTAAGCAATGAATACACAATTTGTTTTTGGATACTCTTGTGCAATGGGTGTCTGTAAAATTCCATTATGACATTTTGAGTTAGTTGTTTTCAAAGCATAATACCAGTTGTGATAGCAATTAACTGCAGATTATTCCCTTTAACATCAAAGAGATCAATTGTCAGGAAATCATTGTGTGTTTATCTCAGCCTGTAGAAGGCAGATACAACTGCCTAATTCATCCTGAATTAACAAAGTAACTTTATAAAATAACAACCACCTGGGACAAGGTAATCCCTTCTCACCTACACCTTTCGCTTCGAGTCAGAGATTGAATAAAATAAGAGGATCACCCTAATAGCTAAGAAAAGCCCTCTACTTCTTACTGCTTTCATCCCATGCACAGGAATTTGATGGTATTGCCTTTGTTCTTTACCCCTCCACTCCCTGAGACTTTGATGATGTGAATCTAGTAATAGTAAGGATGGCCTTGGAGCTCCCTGACAATGTTCTACTTCGAATATATGACAAAGCGTTGCCCAATCCACCATATATTAAACACAGAAATTACTTAATCCCCTGGTCCCATGTGTTCTCCTGTATAATACAACCAGAGTGATCTAGCCCAGCAGATGCCCACTGTAGATTCCATAGTATAAAATCAAAGGGCAAAGAGTAAAATACCTGGCTGTCACCTTTGTTTTACATTATACCAATGTATATATTTTGTTCCATAATAGGTATTGATGGCTCGTTCTTGGAGGGGCGAAGAACTCCTAGCTCTCGCAGTGGGTCTCCTGACCGCAGCCGCTCTCCATACCCAGAGCTTGAACCAGAGGCTGTGAAAGTAGCCTTAAAGGACTTCATGCAAGTCCTGAGGGAAACGCAGAAGGAGAAGGTGAGTTCTGTGAATGGTACAGACACACACATAAGACATATTCTCTACTACAAAATTGCAGAAATAAAATTCTGCCATTTGCGGTTCCATCTGTGTGGAACTAATACAGCAAATAATAATCCCACTAGCACACCCTTCTAGGGATAGTCTTTCAATTCTAGCTGCAGATTTATTTTGTTTCTTTCTGCCAGATATCTCGTTTATTTTCTCTTTTATGAATATTCTGCTGTTTTTAGGATGAAACTAGTGTCCAGATCCTATCTTTACGCAGACAACTGGATGACATTGCTAATTCCCGGGAAAAACTGCAGAGCCAACTGCAGAAAGAGCTGAAACAGATGGCTGAACTACAAGAAGGTACTTCCAGTTCTACATTTCCATAAGAGGGTGGAAAGGCACAACCGTTATATGGTCTTAGATTGCATCAACAGATTAAGGACTTTCAGCAGTCAGAATTTTAACATATTGCTGAAACGTACAAATTTTTAACTTTATTCACTATGTGTGATGTTTGGAATAAAAGGGACTACAAAGTTAATTTAAAATTTTAGGACAATATAGCCGAATTAGAAAAAAAGCCAACTACGTTTCAGTTTAGTTATTCTGGTTGAAATGTGCTATTCACTTTGAATTTCTGACAGCTATCAGTCAAAAGCTGGAAACCCCATTATGTTGTTTTGACATGGGATTGATACCAAGAGTAGTCAAAGGCTAATGACAGGCTAATGCTTTATGCATTTGTTTCTGTTTCAAGTAACAACACATCAGAGCCATTTCCACTGGTACCAGTAGCCATTTTGGCAATTTGATTGGAATAAAAAGAACAAAATAATTGCTATCTGTTTTTGCCAATGTACATCACTGTCTGAACATGCAACACAGTATTGTGTTTTGCGAATTTAGCAATCTGTTGCTGAAATTCCAGGCACAAAATCAGAAGTGGGTGTGAAGAATAACTGGTGTTGGAGCAGATGGTTTCAGATAACCAAACAATGTTTTCTAAGTGGCAAATTTATACAGATATCAACACAGCAACACTATGCCATCTGCAAAATAACTTGCCATCTTTTACCTGGTATCATAGTATTGTTATGTTGTTAAAGGAGACCTATTATTTCCTACGATTTTCAATATTTTGTTTACTGATACTTATAAGTATATCAAGTATGAAAAATCAAACTAAATGTAGAAATTAATATATCTTTATCCTGCAAATGTGCACCTCCATCTTGGATCCGTCTTGATTTGCCCAAAAGACTAGCAGTCATCTAAAATATAAAAAACAATAGAGGTGGTTATTATGCACTCTGTGCCAACAGAGTGGTAACGGACTACACAAAACGGCGTGTTATGGGTTTAAAACTGATCTGGTCCCACTATTTTGGAAGCATATTTTTGTATGTTTTTAATTGTGCTTAGTAAAAGGTGCTATGTTATTGGCACTTTTTTTATCTTGTATGTGGAACTTCATTCCCAACCTGGATTTTATATTCTAAAGACTTTCCATATTGTTCCATGATAAGTGCAGTTAATTTATTCCTGTGTTCGCACTTGCAAAATGCACTTAAACTGGTTCTGTTTGCAATGGGGCATGCATTATATATATATATATATATATATATCTATGTATGTATATATATATATATATATATATATATATATATATAATCTTTATACTGACTGCTATATATAAAATGCGGTATGCATATATATATATATATATATATATATATATATATACACTGGACAAAATTATAAACGCAACACTTTTATTTTTTTCCCCCATTTTTCATGAGCTTAACTCAAAGATCTAAGACTTTTTCTATGTTTACAAAAGGCCTATTTCTCTCAAATATTGTTCACAAATCTGTCTAAATCTGTGTTAATGAGCACTTCTCCTTTACCGAGATAACCCATCCACCTCATAGGTGTGGCATATCAAGATGCTGATTAGACAGCATGATTATCGCACTGGTGTGCCTTAGGCTGGCCACAATAAAAGGCCACTCTAAAATGTGCAGTTTTACTGTATTGGGGGGGTCTAAAAACCAGTCCGTATCTGGTGTGACCACCATTTGCCTCATGCAGTGCAACACATCTCCTTCGCAAAGAGTTGATCAGGTTGTTGATTGTGGCCTGTGGAATGTTGGTCCACTCCTCTTCAATGGCTGTGCGAAGTTGCTGGATATTGGCAGGCCCTTCAATGGCTGTGCGAAGTTGCTGAATATTGCCAGGACGCTGTCGTATACGTCGATCCAGATCATCCCAAACATGCTCAATGGGTGACCTGTCCGGTGAGTATGCTGGCCATGCAATAACTGGGATGTTTTCAGCTTCCAGGAATTGTGTACAGATCCTGGCAACATGGAGCAGGTGATGGTCGTGGATGAATGGAACAACAATGGGCCTCAGGATCTTGTCACAATATCTCTGTGCATTCAAAATGCCATCAATAAAGTGCACCTGTGTTCGTTGTCCATAACATACACCTGCCCATACCATAACCCCAACGCCACCATGGTCCACTCGATCCACAATGTTGACATCAGCAAACCGCTCACCCACACAACGCCATACACCCTGTCTGCCATCTGATGAGCTTCCCTGAGACGGTTTCTGACAGTTTGTGCAGACATTCTTTGGTTATGCAAAATTATTGTTGCAGCAGCTGTCATGGTGGATGGTCTCAGACGATCTTGGGGGTGAAGATGCTGGATGTGGAGATCCTGGGCTTGTGTGGTTACACGTGGTCTGCAAGTGTGGCGCTGGTTGGATGTACTGTCAAATTCTCTGAAACACCTTTGGAGACGGCTTATGGTAGAGAAATTAACATTCAATTCACGGGCAACAGCTCTGGGGGACATTCCTGCAGTCAGCATGCCAATTGCATGCTCCCTCAAAACTTGAGACATCTGTGGCTTTATGCTGTGTGATAAAACTGCACAATTTAGAGTGGCCTTTTATTGTGGCCAGCCTAAGACACACCTTTGCAATATTCATGCTGTCTAATCAGCATCTTGATATGCCACACCTGTGAGGTGGATGGATTATCTCAGCAAAGGAGAAGTGCTCACTAACACAGATTTAGACAGATCTGTGAAGAATATTTGAGAGAAATAGGCCTTTTGTGTACATAAAAAAATTCTTAGATCTTTGAGTTCAGCTCATGAAAAATGGGTTGCGTTTATAATTTTGTTCAGTGTATATTTATAAATTTATACCGGTATATTTATATACACACACACACACCTGATGCATGAGTATGTTTTACCCCACATGGCTATGATACAGAGAATTAATGCATGGTGTGAAAAACTACTTTTGTAATTTGGATGCCCTATAGCACACCCATGTAATTTGGTGACCAGATGCCCTATAGCACCCCCATGATGACATGTACCCCTCTAACGTTTCCCTATTATATCTTCCTCTGCAGGGCAGAAGCGAACAGAAGAACGTCTGGGGACAGCACACACAGAGATACGTCTGCTTCAGGATAATTTACGGCACGCAGAGATAGAACGCCAGGCAGTGGGAGAGCGTGCAATGTCACTAGAGCACAATCTGAGAGTGTGTGAGGATGAGAAAAGAGATTTACAGGTAACGTGATAAGTAATTAACATATGGAAATGCAATCTAGTACTTCATCTATTATTATATTTAATATGTTATGTGATGGAACAGATTAAACAGTTATGGTTGGGAGCTGGGCAGGTGGTTAGGTTGTAGCTGAACTAATGGGTAAGGTTGGAGCTGGGAAGGTGTGAAGTAGTTAAGCAACTGGGTGAAGATCTGGAGCTAGGACCATGAGCTTGGCAAGTGAGTAGAGTTATGAGTTTTGGAAGGACTGAGCTTGCAAGTAGTTGTGTTAGGGCTGTTGGGTGTAATACATGGGTGTACGGCTGGGGTGACAAGTGGACTGAGCAAATGGGTAAGGTTGTTTATCTAAATAGTTTGTTGGTTTAAATATGAACGCAGTGGTGAGAGAGAGAAAAATACACACAATGTATTTTAGTGCTCAGCTAGATCAGCCTGTGCTTTCTATGCTCCTGGTGGCACAAGAATTAGTCTAAACAAAAACAGTGATAACAGTAAAACCCCAGGTCATTCTCCAATAATTTGTATACACTATCTGTGAATCAGATGGCAAAAAAAAATAAAAAAAACTACCCCAGACTAAGCAGGTCTAAAATAACCTGTTCCACGTAAAGATCTTTCATGTGACTGCATTGCAGTCAATAAAAAAAATGTTATCAAAGTCTTATTAAAACCACACTACTTGTGTTGTAGGATCGACTTTTCCGGGTTCGCAGTGACGAGAGTAGGCAGGAGCTGGCATGTAAGGGCTTAAAAGAAGTGCTTGAAGCTGCAGAGAACCGGGGCACAGACCTGGAACTGCGGCGCCGCTCACTAGAAGGGGAGTTGGAGCGAACACGGATGAGTCTTGCAGAGAAAGAAGCAGAAACTCATACCCTCCATGACAGAGCGCATCAGCTACAGGAACAACTGAGAGGAAGTGAAGACAGAGAGGCAGCTTTGCAGAAGGAGGTACAACGGCTCAGTCTGGCATTGACTAGGGCACAGGATGGTGAGAGGCAGCTTCAGGAAAAGTCACAGGGGCTGACGCATGCACTTGGAGAGGCAACTGCTGGCAGAGGTAACCTACAAGAGGATGTGAGCCGACTTCATGCAGCACTGACAGCAGCTGAACAGGACAGGCGGGTGCTACAGGTAACTTACATCACTAAAAAGTAAATACAATAGCGTATAGACTTTATTTCATTTCTGGGTGTATTTGGTCCACTAACAATGGAATTTCTCCAAGGAAATACATTTTTATTTTACAGACATTTAGAAACTACTAAATGTTGATATATAAGCAGTTCACATATCTTATTTTGTATTTACTTTTTATAATTCATATCTCAATCTCACTATTCTAGGAAAGGCTTGACTCTGTTCGGCAGGCTCTGAGTGACAGCAAGAGGCAGAACATGCGTCTGTCACAGACTATCCAGGAACAGCAGCAACAACTGGGAGAGATGGAGCTGTCTTGCCGAGAACTACAAGCAAGATCAGAGGATCTGCAGCAGGTGAGAGAAAGAACAGCAAAGTACAATAAAAAAAATATGTGTCAACCTGAGGAAATTAGCCACCTGCATTAGGGACCCACTCAGAATGTTTTAAAATACAGGTAGTCCACACTTTACGACGACGTGCACTTACGACCAGCTCTCTAGCGTGGGGATTCAAGGGATTCTGCACGTTAGAGAGCTGGTCTATGTTCTGGGAATTTTCCCTGATCATAGATTTCAGAGATTCCCTGCGCTAGTGAGCTACTCTATGTTCAGGGAACTGCGCTAGTGAACTGCTCTCTTGCAGATGCTCTCTAGCACATCATCATTTACCAACCAATTTGTTTTACGACCGACTCGTAAGAACGGAACCCGGTCGGTAAGTGAGGACTGCCTGTATAACATAAGCCATAGCAAAAATATGGTGGAAGATGAGAAGCTCATTCCACCAGGTATGATACATCTACAGACTGGATCTTATGGTGTTCATATTGAGTGGATCTTATGGTGTTCATATTGTGAGGATTTATAACCCTACTGGCACATAATCCTGTGATTTCATGATGGTGCTTCAAAATGGATTGAAAGTTGCATTGGGTACTGAAGGAAACCTGAGATCAGGAACAATAATGAATACTTTCACCCGTAGCTGTATTGACTATGTATTTAAATTTAATTTGTGATTGTCACGTGTGTTTCACATCCAGTTTGTGTACCGATACATTTCTTGCATCTATGTTTCCATTGCATATGTTGCTAGTCTTTTAATTTGTGTTTTCTTTTTATTTCTTCCATGAAGACCCTGCTAAAGCAGCAAAAGAGAGACGTGGAGCAGGGGTCTGTTATGCTGGAGCTACAGGAGAGGGTGAAGATGTTGCTGGGAAACAAGACACAAGTTGAGATTGACAAACAGGAGATTCAACATTCAGCAGCTCTTTTAGAAAAAGGGAACAACACACTGAGGCTCTCGCTAGATAAAGTAAGTATACAGTGTCTCTCCTGGTAAAACAACAGACAGGTTAGCGCTTTTTTTGTCAATATTCACGAAAGAGGTGGAGATTTTTTCTACATACATATGTTTTTGAAGAAATCCTAACACCAATGGAAGTCTAATTAAATATGTGTTTCATTTGGTTAGATTTCCTTTAGTTGTAGCAGTTCTTTCACCAATCGTTTACTTTTAATAAATTAGTTCAAAATAATATTTCCTACAGATTGATATTATTTTCACCTAACTGAGCTGTAGTAAACTTAATGCCACTTAATTGCGTTTGTATAAGTAGCCATTGTGAAATTCCATCAATGGTCCTCACCTTTTTTTTTAACACTTCCCACTGTGCATCTCCAATGACCATAGCGTTGTTTGCTGTTGGTGTAATTGAGTCATAGGATCCTTTTGTTCATACCTGGTTGGTGCCTGAAAATATCAAAAACCTTTTATGATGTTGTTGTTTTTTTGAAGGTGAAGCGTGATCAAGGGCGCATGGAAGGGGAAATTCAACGTCTTTCTATAGAGAAGGAACAACTCAACCAGTCACTGGTGTCCTTAAGAAAGGATTTAGCAGATGCACAGAGACAGAACAAATATCTTGAGGTGAATACGCCAACATTGCATGTATTCAACGGGGGAAGGTTCTATGTGGCGGTGCTGAAACTACAGTATTGTTTGATAATATTTTACCAGATATGAGCAGCTTTATAACTGCAGCTGTTTGCAATACCAGAGTTAGCCATTATTGTACCATTCTAGACTAGTATACTACCACACTAAAATAGTGTCCATTGTTGGATATTCCATTATACCTGTATAGCCCAGCAGCATGTCATTGTATGCACACTATGGTTCAGCTGACATCATGACCCACTATGTCCATACAATGATGGTAGCTTTTGGCCCCAGTGCCCTTACATAGTTCCATGACATGTGCCTGTTTACACACCACCAATTTAGAAGTATTTGAGTTAGCCCAGACATTATTAGAACTTGTATGTGTATGTATCTATGAATGGATACTGTAGTGACCTATATGTTTTTTTGGGACATAAATCTTCTAAAGTTAACTTTTCTTTTTCCATACTAGAGATTTTTTATTAGAGATTTATACTTAACACTAAGGTTTATTCACAAATCAGTGAAACATTGTAAGTCAAAAACTGAATTTGCAACCTTTAGGCCTTACATAGACCTATTGGGAGTACTGTATAGCTGCATTAGATAATGTTTTGCTACTTTAGTCTTAGCATTGCAGATTTGGTTGCCAGTATACAGTAATCCCTAACTATTTTCCTTGCTGTAATAGGTCTCTGGGAGCATGAGTATTTCTTGTTTGGGTATATGTATTTAGTATAGTTTATTTATGCCTATTCCTACTCTAGTTTGTGTTGAATATGTTTCCATTACTTATAGCAGGACCATACATAGACACATGATCACACAGTCCTGTCAAATACATAGCATCCAGACGTCTATTTTTGTAATGAAAACATACTTATGGACAGTAAATATGCCTAGGCATAAGTGCAATAATAGAAAAAATCCATATGAAGAATCATTGTTTTCACACTTTTCTTGGCTATAATTAATTATTATTTCTTCCCTATTTATAATGTGCCAAGCTATTTTGAAATGCTGTCCAATTTTATTTTATCAATTCTTCCCCTGTCAGATGCTTGCATTGTTTCTCTAATAATCTATGGAGAGCCAGAGGGGGGGGTTAAGGGTTAACTGTTTCCTTGTCAAACATTACGTAACTCGCTTCCCCCACTATGTACACTTTTCTCCATGCAGGAGCAGATCACAGAGCTTGAAAGGAGCCATGCGCAGCGCCTTATGGAAGTGAGCTTGAGACACCGTCAAGAGCTGGAGTCTGAAAGCGAGAGACTGCGCAGTGCTCAGCAGCTGACTGAGAGCACCCTGGAATCACGGGAGAGGGCACATAGGCAGCGAATCAGGGGACTGGAGGAGCAGGTAACCATCAACCCCCATGGAGTCATTTATATATAGTGGGTGATTTATCAAACCTTTATCAATGATAACATTTTAGCCCACTTCTCTTGCTGTCCTGCTTCTGCTAATCATTTTTTACCTGATTAATGTCTAATTGATATCTTTATTATTATTATTATTATTGCCATTTATATAGTGCCAACAGATTCCGTAGCGCTTTACAATATTATGAGAGGGGGGATGTAACTATAAATAGGACAATTGCAAGAAAACTTACAGGAACAATAGGTTGAAGAGGACCCTGCTCAAACTAGCTTACAGTCTATAGGAGGTGGGGTATAAGACACGTTAGGATTACATTTATTTACATTTTTAATTACATGTGATTGGAATAAAGAATTCCTTTATTAAACTAAAAAATAGTGTTTTTCTTTTACCAGGTGAATACTTTACAGGAACAACTAAATCAGGACATGAGACGCCGGCAGAACACACATTCCTAATTCTTCATTACGAGACAGAGAGAACCCTAAATGTGAGGACAATCACCTCAATCCAACAAGTGCCTGTTTATATTTACTGAGCAACTATTCACTATTCATAACAGATTTACAGAGCACATTTCATTTTCTATGCTATCATAAGTCTTATGCAAAAGAACCAATCCGATCCATTGCCCAACACACTTATTCAGTAAATATTTATTGCACTTTGATTGAATGGATGTTATCATCTGCTTAGATTCTATAAACATGGATAACTAAGTAAACAGTATTGTGCCAAATTAAATTGATACTGCTGGTTGTTTGCAATAACCTCTATTGCCAAATGAATATGTTTATGTCTATATATTGTATATTTCAGTGAGCCTTAATTCTGTATCTGTGCCTTAAATACACAGTTGAGCTATCACCTATAGCCTGTATTTCAGTTCTCTAACACATGGCTGCTTAGTCTTTAATTACAATGATTTTATAACTAGACGTTTATAATTCTTTTACATGTAATACCCATTCACAAATGCATCGTGTAAGGCATTGTAAGGATATTGATAAACTTTACAATTCAGTCTTAACAGGCACAATCAACCAATGAAAAACATTTATATAAGATTTATATATTTTTATGTTTCCCAGTTACATACGATATCTGTCATTGCATGGTTTTCCTTGAATGAATGTCTTGTAACAGTCTGCGCTTTACAGGCATTCCTATGTACAATTACTATGAATGCAACCATTAATGTCCGAGATTAAATATAAGTTACTATACAGATATAGATTACCCTATTGCAATAATACAAGCTGACTGGTATAGGGTATTCACAAAATATAGTAGCAGAGATTTTATAAACAATAAAAAGTAATAAGCTGTAGATATCAGTCAGCAGTAGAAGAAGATTGGGGATACAGGTTATTATTCATGTACATTAAAATAGAGGAACATGTTTTAATTATCGACAAATATGCAATGGGTTTATTAACTGAACCAGCAATTGTGGAAGCTGGTATTGGAGTTGCTAATTAAGACTGAAATAACCGAGCTGCTACTAGATGAACAGGAGAATTACAGTGCCTTGATCATTTTGCCCTAAAATTCGCCAGTTACTTGTAATTTCATACTGACTTATTGAATAGCACTAAACATGTTCAGAGGAAAACAAAAGCCCTATAAGGGTTATTCACTAAAATGGGAATTGTAAAACATTAACCAGGAAGTACACATTTTAGATCAAAATAGCTGAATTGGAATGCCCTCCATTTGAGATATGTTTACTGTTTTGCCTTTACAGTTCCATGTTAAATTCTCACAGTTCACAATTTAACGAGTAACCCTGAGGAATGTATTTACTGAAGACCGAACTGTTGTGAATTAAAAAGTGAACTGAAACATTTAGTAACAAAAATAGCTGATTTGAGAGATTTCTACACTTTTTTTCTATTTTTGTCCATTTTTAAAAATTAGTTTTCAATGCAGTCAGTACTACTCTGTGTTTTGTGTCCAACCCTATTATCCTTGAAGGAATCAGACTAAAAATAGTTTTCTTGCATATTTAACATTATCATAATATTTCACATAATATTTTACTATAAAACAGGACAGTGATAGGCAACTGTCCGCTTTCAATGCATTAGATCTGGGTGGGCCAGATTTCACCAGGTGTTTTTAACTAACAAACCTTTATTTTCAACTACAAAAATAACAGATCTGAAAGGAACACTATAGTCACAAGAACCAGTGTTCCTTTAAATTTACCATTAAAGAAGACTAGAACCAAACGTCATGGGCATTTAACTAATGCAGATAATGAATATATTCCAATGTGACACACCAGATGTTTTATGCAATGTGTCACGTGTTTTTCAGTTGGATTTTTGTGACCATGAATATGCCTTGTATTTTTAGAATTAAAGTACCAATACTCACACATACTCACTGACAGACATACACACTCACTGATAGACACACACACGAACAGACACACACACTTACAAACACCTAGGCGCCAGGATAAAATTCCTAGTTGCCATTGCGACCTGGTGCCTGGGATATGTCGAGCCCTGTATTAACTGTCAGGATTGTAACATTTATATTTTTATACTTTTCTAAGTCAAATGATTGCATTTAAACATAATTAACATGTAAGGTAAAAGGGGTAATTAGATTAAATAATTGTATATTATCCATATTAATGCAAAACATAAGTGGTTAAACATTGCATAACCTATAGGCAGTTACATAGCCATACAGTTTCTTAAAACCGTAGGTCGATATTTAAGGCCAAGCATACAGTTTCTTAAAACCGTAGGTCAATATTTAAGGTCACGCCATACGTAGTAGACACTGGAGACAAAAATACTAAATTGTGTATCTTTTCCACTGTAAAAAAAACAAAAAACTATTCAGGTTGATTTTTGAACATATTTAAGTGAACTATAGGAAAATATACCTCTGGATGTTAGAGTATGGAATCAAATCTAGCTTACAATTTATACTAGTGGCCAACAATCTGGTCCTGAACTTCTTATATTATGTTATGAATATATTGCTCAGTGTACCTAATTTAGATAAGGGGAAGTCAAGTAAGGGACATCTAGGTGTTCACAGTGTTTAAAGGATCACTTCAAGTACCATAACCACAGTGTGCTGTGGTTATGATGCCAGAAGTGTCCTTTCCCCCTCGGGTTAGTAGTCAAACCATTTGCTAACAGTTTGATTTCTTACCTGGGGTCCACCAGGCACCAATGACTTCTGTCGATTCTATTAGCTTTCTTGACATAAGCTTTTGTCGTGCAGGGGGCAGCTTATTGGCTGGAAAATTTCAGCTGATCGCTCTGCACTTAGCTCAGGCAGATACCTTCCTGCACTCATAGAGGCAAGGACTGACACCCAGTGGATCTCTGGTAAGATGTCAAAACAGTAACAGTGTACTGTTGTGGTTATGGTGTTTGGAGTGTTTTTTTACTATTAAACTTTTTTTATAACTAAATTTTGCTTTATGCTTTTAAAAGAACACTCCAAGCACCATAAACACAACAGCCCACTGTAGTTGTTATGGTGCCCTGACTATGTCCCATTGTCATTTGTCCAACTGCTTTTGAACAGTTTGACAAATTACCTGAGTTCCCGGGCTGTCTGCGCTGCATCTGATCTTTTCCTGCAAAAGCAGTTGGATGTCTCTCTGCAACAAAGCACAGCTCATTTAAACTGAAGCAGAAGGGTCCAAGTAAGGAAAGTAATACTACTATCTTTTCTTCTAAATCATCTTAAATGTGTTCAAAAAATAATATTTGCTATTTATTAAAGGAACACTTCAAGCACCATAACCACCACAGTGCAATGTATTTGTTATGATGTCAGGAGTGCCCTGACACTACCCCAATGTAAGTAATCAAACCATTTTCTAACAGTTTGACTTCATACCTGGAGTCATCCAGGCGCTGGTCCCTGTTTCACTTTTTCGTGTATGGAGAGCTGGAAGCTCCTGCAAGGGGATCCTGTTGGCACTCTGAGTTAAGCACTGCTCAGCTCTTTGACTGAGAGCATCAACTGATCACTGACAGCAAATGAGTTGAACCCTACTGGGCGAGAACTTCCGGCTGTTATAAAGGTAGGAATGCCATTGACCACAGGTATGTCAAAACTTTAAGAAAACAGTTTGACTACTTACACTAAGGGTAGCCAGGACACTCCCGGCACCATAACCACTACAGCACACTGTAATGTTTATTTCCATATGCTATAGTGGATATGGTGCCTAGAGTCTTAAGACATTCATCTATATTAATGTACACAAATGGGGAGCCAGACTTTTTGGATATTTTATCATTTTACAGTTTATTATTTATGATTTAGAGTTTAACAATAGGGAAATGGTTTATCTTTATTTATGTACTCATATTATTGTGTTTTTCTATCAACAGTTCCAAAAACATAAATAAAAGTATTTCATATAATATTAAGGCTAACTTGTCTTTATTGATTGTTATAGATGTGTGATTTTGAATGTGCCATTTACTGAAAGTTAAACATTTTGCTGTGATATGTTCTAATGACTCTTTGTATCTATCGTGCATGACATTGCTACACCGGTGGAAGGAAGACTGGTGCTGCATGTTTTGATTATGGCAGAAGTTGAATAGTCTCACATTATTGCTTCAATTATTTGGCAACAGTCAACATATTTCTATAATAGTGGAACATTTCTGAAAAATGAAAATGTGATGCCCATCCTCCTGGAATATTTATTAATATTCATTAGAAATACCAAAACTGACTGTAAATAACGACCAGCGTATTCGATAACTCAGTTCTTCTCTACAACAAGAAAAAACATTATAACAAAGGATCAGATTGAAGCAGTGAAACAGGGTGATAGCTGGCCCTGCTCAGGTAATATTGGTCTGCAGGTTTGAAGAAAATGTGTTTGAGGGAACTGAAGAATATGGGAGGGTGCTCCAAGGAGTGATAAATATCAATGAAAAGAGATGAGTGCATATGATAAACCAGCAGCAAGCAGACATGTACTTTAAATAGAGACGGGTGCCAGAGTACAGAGATGAGTGGGTTTTAGAGTCAGAGGTAAAGATACATGTTGCTTTATGGGGATACACATCCTAGAGGGTAGAAAGGTCTAGTAATGTTTATGGAAAACAACTTGCTTGAAAAAGTGAAAAATACAGTTGTTCGTTCAGTTCCTAGATTAATTTCATTTTATTCAAATAACTGTCTCTTAACTTGTAAGCCTTACTCCATTGTTCTTGCACTTGTCATTTAGTTTGTGATTTCTTTCCTTAATGATGCCAAAAGCTCAACAACAGTCCCCAACGTGTCCATAATTATTAATAAATAATTGGCTTTACTTTTTGGTCAAGTGGGATCAAATTGCGTCATCTGAATGAGGATGAATTAGCATTTTCATTCAAACATGACTGTATTTTGATCTGCAAAATCTTTTGAGGCTGTGTAGGCAAGGACATGAGTATAGCAATATTAAAGCGGGAAGTGAAAAATCAATTTAGCATTTGCCAGAATACCTATAGCTCTTGGTTAAAAAAAAAAAAAAGGTTTGTTGCATAGTAATTTATTTTACAACAGCATTGTTTTGACATTGGAATAACAGACATTGTTATATAAAAAATTGCAAATAGGGCAGACCAAGAAAAGTCTTTAAAACATATATCCCTTAATAAACAAAAGAAGAAAAAGAGGCTGTCCCATCCTGTGAATCGGTTTATATTGGCATGTTAAGATGTTTTAAGGCATAACACTGCTGTGTAAACATGGAGACTGGCTCCTTGCACACAGTTCACACATACACAGTACTTAAAGAGATAGCTGTCAGAAAGATGATGAATATGTCACTCCACTCACCTCTCAAAACATCTCACTGCAATGTGCCATTCATCAAAAGTTCATGGCAAAGTTCAACTAGTTTTCACATTTTCAACTCACACAGTTTATTTAGATAGCCAAAGGGGTCCACAATGGCTTTTTATATTTTTTTTGGCAGTAAGGGTGCTCTATAGGTGACTTGACACAAATTTATTTCTCATATCATTCAACTAATTTACCATTTCTCAGGAAGATCTGGTAAATATAAGTGCCAGACTAAGTTACCATTTCAATTGTAGTAAACTGGGCTGACATAATTTAAGAATATTACGACAATATGACATTAACAAAATTCTGGTCTAATCCTGAAAAATTTACGTTTTCTCATGGAAAATTTCCCTATTAAAAATGTCAGTAATTTGCAAGGGTTCTCCAGCTAAAAATGATTGTTCTTTACCAAAGATAAGCTGTGAAATGATTTTTACTTAATGCTGTGTTAGTTTTGTCAAACTTGTGCATACACCACACACACAAATAGGACAATCTTCTCTGTGTCTCTGCCAATTGCCATGCACAGCCTGTCACTGCATTGGGATGGATCCCCCAGAGGATGGCTCAGTGGAGAACATGGGCGGCACAGGAGAAAGATGGCCATGCCGCCATTGGTCATCAGTCTCTACATAATGCTGCTCCCACCCAGGGCTGGACTGGGAATTAAAAGCAGCCCTGGAAAAAAAATATTTACCAGCCCGATTATGCGTCGCGCCAGCATAGTGTGCAGATACAGAGTTAGAACAGATAACTTAAAATTAAAAAGTACTTCAACGTAAAAAGCGCACTCATAGGCTTCAAAATAAAAAAAAAGTGCAGATTTATTTTAAGCAGACGTGCCTTTGCATGTAATCAATGTTTCAGTCCAACCCCCTTGACATATTAAGGAAAGCTTGTTAATGGGACTGAAATGGTGAATGTATGTAGGGCACAACTGTAAAACATTTTTATTTTGAAGTCCTGTGGGTGTGCTCTTCACTTTAAATATGTTATTGTGCTGGAGTATGCACCTAGCAACAAGACTGGGCCAATATCTGCTCATTACATATGGTACATATTAATGAAATTTCTCTGTGTATTATGCATATATAAATGTACATTAATATGTGTAAATATAATATATATATATATATATATATATATATATATATATAACTAATATACACATTAATATACATGTCATATACCAGTGACGGATCCAGAGCCTGAGCCCGGGAGGGGCACTTGTAGATTATTTAAAGAAATATTCCATGCACAATAACCACTACTCCTCTGTGTAGTGGTTATGGTGCCAGGAATGTCGGCACCCCCTCCCAGAGTAAGTAGTCAAACCGTTTAAGAACAGTTTGACAACTTACCTGGAGTCTGCTGGGATATGGGGCTGTAGTAGGGTATAGGAGCAGTGGTGCAATGTGTGAGGGGTGCAATGTGTGTGAAAGGTTCAGTGTGTGGGTGGCATGGTGTGAATGTGTGTGTGTGGGGGGGCAGTGTGTGAATATGTATGGTGTGTGTGTGGGCAGTGTGTGTATGGGGCTAGAGTTCAATCCTACTACTGCGACCACCAGGAAGTGGTGAGAGTGAACTCTAACCTCTTTGTCAATGTCTCCCCTCTCCTTCCCAGGCTCCCTATTCCCCCTCTGCCTCTTTCTTCCCCTCCCCTTGTGTGTCTCTCTCATTTCTCCCTCTTTGTGTCTCTCTTCCCCCTCTGCCTCTTTCACCCCCTTTCCCTGTGTCTCTCCCTCCTCCCTATCTCTCTCCCTCCCCCCTTTCCCTGTGTCTCTCCCTCCAACCCATCTCCCCCCTTTTTCCTGCGTCTCCCTTTCCCATCTCTCTCTCCTCCAGCCATCTCTCCCCCTTTCCTGTGTCTCTCCCATCTCTCCCCCTTCCCTGTCTCTCCCCTCTCCCCATCTCTCTCCTCCCCCCCTCATCTCTATATTCCCTCACCATCTCCCCAATCTCTTCACCCTTCCCTGTGTCTCTCCCCCTCCATCGTCTCTCTATTCCCCTCACCATCTCTGCTTTCTCTGTGTCTCTCCCCATCTCTCCTCCCCCTCCACCATCTCTCTCTCTATTCCTCACCATCTCCCCCATCTCTCCCCTTCCAATGCTCTCCCCATCTCTCTCCCTCCCCCCTCCACCATCTCTCTATTCCCCTCACCACCCCACCCCCCTTTCCCTGTGTCTATCCCATCTCTCCCCATTTACCTTAGAGAAGGCAGGGGGCCGGCCGCGTTCCAGGCTGGAGCCGCCGGGCCGGGTTGCAGCTTCGCCGGTCCGGCGGCACTGATGGCTGAAGGAGGAGGAGCCTGTCTCTGTACCATGCTCCCTCGCGGTTCCTGTGCTGGGAATTGTGGGAACCGCGAGGGAGCATGGTAGACAGGCTCCTCCTCCTTCAGCCACAGCAGTGACTGGAGTGCCGCCGGACCGGCGAAGCTGCCACCCGGCCCGGTGGCTCCAGCCTCGAACGCGGCCGGCCCCCCTCTGAGTGCCACCGGACAAGCCAATTTCCCGGTATCCCGGTGGGCCAGTCCGGCCCTGCCCCCACCTATCTATCCTCCCTAATACACAAGTATGTCCCTTCTAGGCCCTTACGATCTGCTGAAGACTTACGTCTTTCTTCTGTCTGTAGTCCCACCTCTGACTTCTCGAGGGCTGCACCTGTGGAACTCGCTTCCCTCCTCCATTAGATGCTCACCCAGTCTCCACTCCTTCAAAATATCATTAAAAGCCCACTTCTTCATAAAAGCGTATCAATTAAACTGTTAATAGCTCCCAACTGATTCCTCTCTTGCAACTGTCACTAGTCTAATACTATCCTTACCTTTTGTGTCACTTTACCCCACTCCCTGTAGCATGTAAGCTCACTGAGCAGGGCCCTCAACCCCTCTGTTCCTGTGTGTCCAACTTGTCTGGTTACAACTACATGTCCGATCATCCACCCATTGTAAAGCGCTGTGGAATTTGATGGCGCTATATAAATAATAACATAATAATAATCAGTTGCCAGCAGTATACCTGCTTACAACAGACACCCAATATGCACATATTTAACAGTATCCAGCTCAGAATCCTATGCCCTGGCCAGCTAATGATGCTGCCAGAGCTGGCGTTAAACTGGCAGCCCAGGATATGTCACTGTACACGCAATATTTCAAACACAGCACAATACAAACCCAAAGCACCATAGCCACTTCACATCAGTGAAGTGATGCTTGAAATAACCCTTTAAGCGCCAATGTGAATTGTGAATGCAGGACTCACCTGGAAGGTTTGCCTTTGCACTGTTAGGTAGGTTTACACTAATGACCAGTACTAATAAATATATCAGTTATTCAAATGTACATACAGACTTGAGATAGCATGCAGCTAACCTTTGTTTGATTTGGTTTTATGTATTAATTTACAGCAGCTGTGGTATGGCTGTTATAATTGTATAGAGTAGTTCCACTAATTCTATGTGAGGAGCAGAACTGTGGTTGGGGATTAATTACTTATATTATAAACCTCTACAGGTTTTATGGGGTAAGATAAAACCGCACAGTTCCGAATGAGAGGCTTCTGACTGGTAC